ACAAACACCGAAGTTTTTTTCGTAATAAATGGTTTGAATACTGTAATCATTCCTATTGATCAAACTCGGCTCGATATTTCTCCTATTCGGCATGAGTAAAACTGTTATCAACGGCTGTCAAAACGAGTAACGTGTTTTTGAAGTACTTTTTTGTTTTCAAAAATTGTTGTTGACAGTGTGAATAATAATCTCGACGAAAGACATCACTTTAATAGGTGTTGCACACGCGTGCAGAGATGATTTATCAATATTACACGAAAAATATAAGAAATTAAAACTACTTTTTTGTTTTTAGAAAAAAATCTATCTTAATCTAAAATTATTCACCAGTCATAAATTACTTTTATTTTTCTCTTGTTTTATATATTTACATCGAATTTTTTATTTGAATTTTTATAAAGTATTTTCTCTCCCTTTCTTTAGACAAGTGCTTTGTATAAGACATAACGATAGTCACTTGTAACAAAGAATCCGAACAATTTATAGTATTTCATAGAATTACCACTGATCACCTTTATTCGAATTATCACTTAATTATTCTCCCAAGTGTTTCAAATATTCTATCTTTCTCTCTTTTTCTCTTTTCGTGTTTTAGATGCCGTAAACGAGCAGTCGATTTTACACACGACGATTAGATTACAGCCGCTGCATAATGCAGAGGATAATGTTACAAATTCAATCATCTTTCGGATATTTTTATCGACGTCAGAGAAAGAGAGAGAAAGAGAGCTGTGCCAACGACAAGCGCGACGGCATATTTCTACGCGGTGTAACAGGCGCGCGTCGAGAGAATCTCGACTATCAATAGCACGCTGACTTAGTTATGCGCCCCTACCTAACGCTGCCAACTAGAATTCCGATATCCGTTAGAGAACCGGCCTCTGTTGTTGCAAGGTAATCCGATCCAACAGCGCGTTTTACCTCTTCTTAAGGTGCGCCGACCTGTCATACTTCCTACGCCATAATCATGGTGAATCGATTGTCGGACTTGAATCCCTTTCGCGCTATTCCACAAACGCGTAATTCAATAATAATATCACAATTGTGAGAATTTGCTCAATGTAAATCTGAGCAAGAGATCGATGATTGTTAAGAAGGTGAGAGAAAAATAATAAGCGCGTTGTTATAAACGTAGCACCAAGCATATTATTTACATCAAATGACTTTTTGATATGTATTTCAAAAAGTAACAATTATTCTCATACGCAGCAAGTAGTTTAAATGATCTTGATTAAATAAGTGATAAATATGTATGCAGCAGCGCGTGCGAAGCTTCTCATAAATTTGGTGTTTCAGAATAACAACTGATATAATCTCGAATATACATGTTCTAAATTAAAATAAAAAAAAAAAACTAAATTTGTAATAAAATTGTGCAAATAATTAATAAAATATACTTTACTCGACAAAATAAATAGTTTTATGTTTTGAATAAAGTAAAGATCAGAAATCCATGCGCAAGTAATATTCAAATAAAAAAATCTCAAAGTAATAATAATATTACAATTGATATTCATATTTGATCGAGAGACATTGGAAATGCAATGTGGAGTAGATGAAATAGAAAAAAATAGCTTGCGAGAAAATCTGTTTCGGTTAAACACATATCCGCATAATTTAATTTACACTTCTCCTCAGATAAAAGTAGGGAAATAAGATAAAGATAATAATAGCATCTGATTAGGAAGTTTCTTAAATGAGATATGAAGAAGAAGAAATAATGGCAGATAATGTTCGAGGAAAGAGTTCAACGGAAACATTCCTGCGTAACTTAATTTATACTTCGCGCTTTAAGCGATACTATAGATAGCGAGGGAAAATAGGGGTAGTAATGGCAGCCGATTAGGAAGCCTCCTAAAGACAGGATGTGGGGGAGGACAAGGAGAGGAAGAGGAGAGAAAGGGTGAACGGAGAAAGCCAATGACTCTCGCGTTGCAAGAGGGAGGAAATTTTATCGAGCAGCCGCCATCGACGAGAAATGGAAGGCCGAAGAGGGACGAAGGCGGAGGGATGAATCGGAGGGTTGGAAGACAGTGCAGAGTGCGAGGGGTGTAGGGTAACTCGCGGCGGCAAACGAACGAATCACGAATGAAGGGACGAGGGAATTCTTGAGGGACCGTACGTCCTGTCAGAACGGAGGAGGGCAAAGTCGAGAGCAGACAAAGGACTTACCCCACCGCCTGGAGGATAAACCTCGCCAGAGATGGCGGTCGCGCCACGAACCCGCAAACTACTAGAGTATTAATAGTTATCTCGCGCTTCATTATCGCGTGGTCGTCGTTCATGATACGCGGACACGTGCATGTCTTGTGTGATTCGAGTAACAGTACATTCATAATTACTTATTTTTTGGATGTACGCGCTATTGAACTTTTGTTCGTTTTTATCTCGCTCGTATTAATAAAAAATATTAATTTAATTAGATTAAAAATTTGTATAATAGCCTGCGCCGAAAATAAAACTAAAGTAATCCTTACATATTTGCTACATACAGTTTTACTAAAAAACAAAATTTATTTTTGCATTAATATAAAAAAAGAAGATTCAATATATAGAAAAATAAAAAAAAAACAGAAAAAATTCCTTAAAAACAAATAATTAAAAACAAATAATTAAAACCTTCTAAGCAGAAAAAAGAATTATAAAATATTTAAACACAACTTTACATAAGAATCTTTTTCTTGTGAATGAATAGACTGAGAATATTTGTAAAAATAAGATATGCATGTTTTATGCCGGATATCGAGCTTCCGAAAATGGTTCCTCTTCTCGTTTCTTAAGATAGACTGAATAGCTTTATTTTCATTTATAAGAGAGTTCAAAGAACTAAGGATATATTCGAGCCGCGGATTTTCAATGGTCATTAGTTTAACGAATTTCCATAGCGCTGATGTAAAATCTTTAAAAAAATTACTCTTTGCTTCTTATAACGCTCTCCATTTTTTTATGCACAATGTGCAAAGCCTGAATAAATAATGTAAATATTAAAATGTGACAATATAACAAAAACTAATAAATAACAATTACTAATATAGACATTACAAGAGAAGTCGTCGATAAGTGATAGATATCTAGACTAAAGACCAGAAACGTGCATGATCGAAGCGTAATGCAAAAATATGATTACAAGTTTTCAAGTTTTCGTACGGCGACTAACATAATTAACAACAGAGAACGTCAGGACTATAGGGTCAAGGGGTTAACGGCAGCTTAAGTAACCGCCGCTGCCAAGATGATCGCACGAAAGTGGATTACGCATGTCGGAATATCAAGTCGTCGCCGCAAATAGCAAACGATTTGGTTCTATACAGTCGCTGGATCGCCATCCCTGATCCAGTCGTCGTATAATAATATCGCAATCACTGATGACGCACGTTATATTAATCCGCGCCCACATCTCGGAGATAAGATTAAATTTATTACTCCCCCTTTCCTCTCTCTTTATCTGTCTATCTATCTGCCTATCTTTTAGCTAGTTTTCGCTTGCGCTCCTCGCGGATAATCTGAATGAGATTCAGCGAACAGGTACTTTGGCGGCGTTAAGTGATGCACGAGAGGTCTAACTTTAGGACCCGTTAGTGTCTGGCAAGCTATCTAATCACGTTACCGTGCATGTACCCCATCCGTCCTATCCGCGACACCTGCGTCTTCTTGCAGGTAACTCAGAATACATCTATCTAAGAAGACGATATATACAGCAAAATCGGCGAGAAGGCTGACAGCTCCCAATTTGCCCGCTTAACGTGCAAATTGCGTAAATTTGACTCGCGCGTGTGTCGAGAACGATGTTCCCAAAAAAATATCTAATTTTCCTAAATGTATTTGTTTTGTTTTGTTTTTTTTTTTTAATTCTGCCAGTCGGAAACGATACTTGTTAGTAACAATGTGTACGAAGTAACGTTAAGATAGATATAGAAGTGTGTACTATGTAACATTGTTATTTATTTGCTCGTTTGAGCAAGGACAGGGAAGTGATGAAGATTCATTTGTTGGTCCACAATATTCTCAGTTGATAAATGTCGCTGAGAAGACCAGCCACAAACAAAACATCTCGAAGATAGATTCGGAATCGGGATCTCCAGAACATAAGTCTCGTATGCCGAGATCATTGGATACCAATGGGCCGATCCAAAATTTAGCGTGTTTTCCAAACGCTATTGTAAATTGAAAATTATCCTTCATACATAAAAGACACATACATCGATTTACGAGCCCGAATGTTGCTATAATCGAATTTTTGAAAATTGCCATGTAAATAGAATTGCCGTGAAGTAAAATCGCGAGTAAAATATGAGAGCAATTCTTTCACGAAAAATCATCGCAATTATTTGCTTTTGATGATACATTTCTGTCTGCGTAATCATCAGTAATACGAAAGAATTTAAAAGAAAAATATTACACAAGTAATCGTAATTTCAAGAAACATACACACAATTTTTCACAATAGTGATTCGCATAAGTCATTCGTCTTTCGTTCATAATAATCCGTCAAGCATATTAGACAGTATAATCCATCAGCTCGTAACTTACAGGTAGCCGTGAAAACGAAAATGGAGTCTATATAATGTAATTACACTACACTTCTGCTAACTCTCTCTCTCTCTCTCTCTCTCTCTCTCTCTCTCAATTTTCCGCTTCTCTTTGTGCGGAAACAACTGCGAAATGTGCAATGCAAAATGATGTATGAGTTAAGGAAACAAGTTCTTTTTTTCATAATTTTTGATTTTAATTTTTAAAATGATTGAGATTAGTTTTGTGTATATATGTATATTGCGCTTTTCATAAAATTTATTCATTGTTCAAATATATTTTGTGCAAGAAAATGTCATATCGATAATTTTTGCAAAAGAGAAAATATGCATTAATGATTGTATATTATAATATAGTATTGATAGATGTAATTTTTATCACGAAAGAACTGAATCAGAAGATTTGCTAATTTTATAAAAGAAAAGAGAGATGAGGAAAAATTATTGTGAGGAAGGAAAAGATGTACCAACCTGCACTCTAGCTTCCGTCAAGTCGATTTTCATAGCGATCTCCTCTCTGGTGTAAATATCTGGGTAATGCGTCTCCTGGAATGCACGTTCCAGCTCTTTCAACTGAGCTGACGTAAACGTCGTTCGTATCCGACGTTGTTTTCTCTTCTCCGCCAAGCCGTCGTGTCCTGAATAAGCTTTGTACCCTAAGCCGCCTAGAATTAAAATATAATACGTAAAATATTTTTTTTAATTAAAATGACGTTGTAAGTAATTACAATTACATTATAAAAAGTAAAGCAATTTCCAAGAAAAATACATAGAGATTTATTTTATCAAATACTAAAACAGAAATGAAAAAAGAGAGAAAGTGAAAAAGGGAACTTTATATCAAAATAATAAATTTCTTTCATAATCAAATATACGCACAAAGTAATTTAATTATTTTTAACTAATTTTGCGCTCGATATATAAAAGTTTTATTTCTGATATCATAATTGATGTTTTACTTTAGTGTTATATATATTTGATATCTATCTTTATACATATTTCCGACTTCTGCAGGTAGCCTATAAAACGTTAATTGAGGTATAACAGATACTATGTTGCATTATCTATCCACGTGACGTTGTTGCGGCGCGCACCATGTCGAAACCATGTGTGATGTTGAATTCAATCGAGATCAATTATCAACTAGAACGAAGGGAGCTTAGCTTCCTGCACGCGTGTGACATGTTTAGCCCCTTCTAAATCGTCGGGACAAACACAACGGAGCGTCGTACATTCATAGCCTAACGGATTGACGCAAGGATAAAGGAAGGCTTTTGTTAAGCCGTTGTACATAGTCGAAATTATATATAGCATCATTTATTTATTACAAACAATATTGTTATAACGTTGTATAATGAACAATACAATTTATTAATTAAAATAAATTTTTTAAGATGTAAAATTTAAAAACGTTTTTATTAATTATTTTTACTGATTTTAATTTAATGAACTTTCTTTAAATTTGATCATTTATATATACTATTCTTAATTCATATCAAATGACAGTAACGTCAAATTAATTTCTTATTGTAAATTATCGTATATAATGGTGCAGATGATATTTGCTCAAAAATATCTACGAAAACGTTGTGTACGAAGAAGATAAGTAGATTACATTATTATATTGGCAAATTTTGAGTGACATAATGTCGACATTTGACATCTTTTCCAGTCGTGTTGTCAAATTTCTAACATAGTGTATAAATTACGGTCTTCAGATGCAAAACAACAATATTTTGCGTGGCTAATTACATAAAGAGATGTGCACACATTCAAACGTTTGTACAAAAAATCTTTGACACTACTCATTGCTTTTAAGTCAATAAACTATTGAAGGTCTCCTCTTCGTTAAAAAAACATATCACTTGATTAAAGAATAAACTTGATTAATAGACAAATAAACAAATCAATAAAACCATTAAAATACAAAACGAAATCAAGAAGAATAAAAACGAAATTGCACATAAAAAGCAATAATTTGGTTAACCTTTGGGAAAAGCAGCGAAAAAGTATCCTAGATTGTTCTGATCAACAATTCAGCTGATCGAGTATTGAAAAAGTGCTGATCCGATCGAATGTCACTCACTCTGAAGATTGATGGCCGACGGAAAGATGGAGGCGGCGTGTCGGTGGACTTCCTGGGACCTGGCGGCCATCACGGAGCACGGGGTCGAGTGGGCCCCGTGGTGCGCGTGAGCGTGGGGGTGCGCAGTGTGATGGGCCGTTAGCGGCGTGCCGGCGGCCGCAGCGGCGCCGGCAGCCGCGTTACCGGGATAGCCAGCGGCTCGTGCCGCGGTATAGCGATAAGCCGCCTGGCTCATCTGCGAGCACGAGCTCAGATCGCCGTAACTGCACTGCATCTCTCCCGCGGCCAGGGCGCAGCTGGACGCCTCGAAGCCGGCGGCCGCTGCGGCCGCAGCTTGATTCAGATACGAATAGTCCATGATGGCTTGGCCGTGAAGAGATCCACTTCGCGTTACTCCGTTGACACTTGCTTACTATTTACGTCGTTACTTTTCTCACTTCTCCGGCGACGACAAAGATACCCGCGCACTTGAAAAGATAACGGTAAGAACGTTGGTGGGATGTTAAGTTTATAAGGCGTCGCGAGGTCTATCCCGCATTGACGACGCGACGTCTTAAAATGACAGACGGACGGTGAAGCGCGCGTGTATGTATCACGTATGCTTTAAAAAGAAGACACTTGTTGAGAAGAAAAACGCAAATGACGACGCACGTGAAAACGCGCGCGGTATGTCCCGGGCCCGTTTCGCACAGTCTGGGCCCGCCGGGTAAGTCCCGGATAAACGCGAGCGGTAGGAGCGGCACGCCGCTCTCTCGTCGGCGACGCTTCAGCGAGACCGGGAACCGGGTCGGGCCGGCAGAGCTCCTCGATAGCGGCTTATGACGCGTAATCGGATCAGCGATATCAAATTATTGCGATTACACCGCGGATAGGAAGAAGTTTTTCGGCCCGCTTAAGAGCGCCCCGTACGACCGACTGGTGGGTCTCCTCAAAATCAAATGATAAGCTTAATTCAATAACCGCCGATGCCGCGGGTAGAAACGTGGGTGTGGCCACGGCCGTTCCTGCGGGGGTTGCGTTTCACGGGGTGCTCGCCCAGCGAAAGCTGATTCGCCACCAGACAAACCATCCCCGTGACGAGAACGGGGATCGAGACGCCGCCCCGTGTTGGCAACATCGACTTTCACCCTCTCCTCGCCCCCTTCTCCGAGTTTGCACGGTGCCACCCCTAGGTTACAGAGCAGACGACTCTCTTCCCCAAACGGCCATCAGGCCGAATGAGTGCTATCATTCGATGACGCGCCCCTCCAAACTACCCCACTCTCGGCTTTACGATCGATCTCATGGAAGCGCCGGCGACGGAGGATACCGCCGTGTCGCGGCTACTTCAGTGGACGCGAGGATCCTGCAGGATGGTGTGTCGCGTCCCGCAACGCGACTGAGTCCCTCGGAGCTGTTTACACCTACGTGCCGTACCGTGCAAAGGATATCACACGGAACGGATTATCCGCGTCGCGAGTCGACGCTGAAACGACCGAACTGTTTCTTGAACATTTTTGTGGATGGCGTCCTTTACCTAAATATTTTAGTGTCAAACCTTTGTTACATGATTTTTCTATATTTTACTGTAAACTTTATTAACGTAACTGTTTATAGACCAAAATTACGAGTCTGGAAATGCTTGGAGAAAACTCAGTAAATGTGTGTAAAACAAATAAACGGTCTAATTTAAAGAAATAAAAAATAAAGATAAATAATAAAGATAAATAATTTCATTAATAATTTTATATATCCTATATACATGAACCACAAAATTAAAAATAGAAAATTTGTTTCCATAGCTATCTATTCCACTTATTTTCTATTTCTAATTTCTCTTAGTCTAATTTGTATCTGAAACAAATTCGAAAAACAAATTAAAAAATACTTAACTATCTTGCATTTGATCAAAACAGTAGATTTATAATTAATTCAATTTTTTTCTTTAACACATATATCGAAATCTTTATTACTTTTAACCGTCGGTTTTAATCAAGCAGAAAAACAATTCTCATGTATCAAATATAATATTAAAAAGCAATAGATTAAACTTTCTATATTTTACATTTATGTGTATGTGTTAGCAAAAGGCAACCACAAACAAATTTTGAATTTCTCGTGTCTTCCGCACGATGTAAGCGAGGGAAAATTTGATTTATCTCAACCTGAAGAAACAATTTTCACGAATACGGCGCGGCGATACGCATCGGTCGACTGGCTCCTGTGCGACATTTGTTTTGCACTTGTTCTCACGAGAGAGAGTGCCACGATGAGAGCAGTCGCGATGTGTTCCACCCTCTTCCCCGAATCTTATCCCGGGGGAATATTCCGTTCCCGGCACGTGGGAAACGTGTGTCGCACGCTGCCACCGTGCACATCTCCGATATACACGTACACACAATCAAATGTCACATAGGCGTATCTTTTTAGACAAATCTTGTATACAAGACACAAAAGATACATACAATATCGATGCCGTAAATGATCTTTTCGTCATCAAGTAGAATGTAAAATATATTCTAGTTTCAAGATAAATTTGAAACAACATTATTCAGTTAAGACGCAAATGGTCTTATTGTTAAAAAGTTAAATAAAAAAGACATGCGGTAAAAAGTTAGAGTTAATATTCTTTTCATAAGTATGATTTTTCTTGTTTGTTTACAAAAATATATTTTATTGTTACATCTAGAGTGATGTTTCTTTTTTATTTAAAAAAAGCATTTAAATGCGTTATATTTGAGTCAATATATAATATTTTAACTTAAAAAAAATAACATACTTGTAGAATTACGCCACTGTTTGCTGAGGTGAAAGCGACGTGTACGTAAAATGTGTGTACGCCTTTGATATCAATAACACGAACCGTGTCGGTCTCCCCTTGGCGGTCTGATACATATGTCCTTGATTTGTCCGGAGAATAATATTCTCCTGCAAAGTTGATTAAATATTGGTTAGTGATCTCGGACACCCTTCGCGGTCCTGCATCGTCTTTTGGCCCCAAAAACCCATGGGAACACAATTTAATATTTCCGCGCTCGAAAACAGCGGGCGATCATTTTTCTTTTATGTGAACACGAATAAAGAATTGACGATTCTTGCACGAGTCTCTAAAATCTGTGATACAGTACTGTGTAGGTACTTATACGGTAGTCTAGTAATATATATACATATATATACAAATCGAGATTATCGCGTTTTGAGACGTTTAAAGATTGACGATAAAAAACAGCGAGCAAAATATTATGTTTTTTTTCTATAAACTTTATTATAAAATATTGCATTGTTTTATATATATATATATATGTATATATACATATATATACCTATATGTATACATTCGGTCACGCGTAAAAGTATATGCAAACATTTTGCTACTTTTAAAAGAGAGACCCAATATAACTTATTTTAAACTATTTACATACATGTATATTTTTATATCGAATCTTTTCCCAAAACTGTAAAGCTATATTTTACATTGTAAATGATCGAAAGTCTACTACGCAAGTATGTTGTACATAATTACGAGAAGAATACAACGCAAATGTAATATTTCAACATTTACACAAATATTACTCTAATTTTAATTATTGATAATTCATAATATTCCAGTCTTACTATAAAAGTGTATTCTATCGTATGATCCAACTCAGTAGATTGTGTGCGAATTGAACAATCAAGTTAATCCTTAACAAATTTTTGATATTTAGTTTTTCCTAACATCATAGAATTTTATTACCTATTTATTTCAGGTGAGGTTTGTGTTAATTGTATATCATTTTTAAAAATTTAATTAGTAAAATATTTAATGTTAAATATATTACAAAATTACAATTCTTTCTCTTCGTTTGCTCAACAAATAATCATATTTAGAAACATTTGACTTCGAATCAAAGTACCTGTTGATGTTATACAACAGTGACAAGACATTATATTATTTATGCAAATGAATATATAACTCTAATTTTTTTTCATGATTTTTTTATAGACATGATATTACCTGTTTTCTCCTATTTTCCGTTTCTTCAATATTATGTACAGTAGAACCTCTTTATTCTTAATCGGGACCGAGCTTTCTTTCTATTTCTCTGATGTTGCGCGGCGGCCATTATGTTCGCGCAACATCAGAGCGTACCAAAGGGAGGATGAAGGGAAAGAGAGAAGAATACGAATAGACAAAAATAGAGAGGTTTAACCGTAATATATGTATACAAATATCTTGTATAAATATCTATTTATATAACTTCCTATAAGTTTAATATAATTCTTTTTAATATTCAGTATATGTATTTTGTACATCGTTGTATCGAGAACTTCTCAATTCTGAACCTGAGTCGTCCATGAAATACTACTGCATTTGTTGCACTTGTAATCTAAAACTCTGATATTATGTAACACAATAATTGTCATATTATTGCAATTTTTTAACATGTTGACTGTCATCCGTGATTGGCACCACCAAATTAAAAAAATTAAAAATACTCGCAACAAAAATATCAAATAAAAGGTTTAAATAAATAACATACATATATACACACATATATATGTGTACATATGTATATATATGTGTACATATGTATGTAGTCACCACCTTAACTTAGAGGTACTATGTATAAATTAAACTGAAACCAAATAACCGAACGAAGATTAGAATTAATCGACAACCGGATGTGATCAATATTTGATGTGCCGTTACATGTTCGGATAAATAGTATAATAGTTCTTGAACTGTTTAGAATTGTACACATTCGGATCCTCCATAGTGAATGGTTGGATAACATTGGCGGACATCGTTTTCTGATTGTGCACATTTGCTACCAAGTATTGCGGCGTTGGCATAACTTGACCAACCGACGGCTCCTCCTCTAATTTTCTCTGAGAGTATATCAGCAATTGGGGCATAGACGCTTCATTCTGCTGCGGCGTGGTATCCACTGTGGACACTGTAAATGCAGTTGTCGCCCCGCTAGACGACTGCTGCGCCTTACACTTCTTTGTATGAGCATAGAGGGAACCAGCGTTGTTGTATCTTTTGCTGCAAAGTTTGCACGCATACGGCCGTTGACCAGTGTGAGTATACATGTGTTCGTTTAGCGAAGTTAGTCGTCGAAACTTCTTCTCGCAGATGTTACAGCAATACTTGGCTTCGCCGGTGTGCATAGTAATATGCCGAGCCAAAGTATTGGCTCTGGCAAAAGCCCTACTACAATACTGACAAATGTACGGTTTCTCGCCACTATGAGTTCGTAAATGTAATTGTAGATACGTGCTCTTGGTAAAGGCGCGACTGCACACTTTGCACACATAAGGCCGATGTCCGGTGTGTGTGCGCATATGCGCTACCAGTGAGCCACTCTGCGCAAAACATTTGCTACATTTTTCGCAAAGGAATCGCTTCTGCGTATCCTTCGCTCGTTTGTGTCTTTCCTCGTGATTTGCCAGAGATTGAGCTTGCGCAAATGCCTTTGGACAATGCGAGCACTGGTGCGGTCTGTTATGACGGTCCTGTAAGAAGCAAAAATTGTTAGAAATATTTTGTATTATAGAGAATATCTCTACAAGAGAAAATAGATTACAAAACTAATTGAATTATTATTAAGCAACAAACTTGCCTTTTTTCGACTCTCGGAATTCTCGTTGACTTTGTTCTCATTATCCTCATCGTCGTCATCCTCGTCTTCGGTGTTACCGAATATTTCCATCTTGTGCTTCGATTGCTCGTGATCTTTCAACTTGTCGATCCTTGAAAATTCCTTTCCACAAGTCGTACAATTAAATTTTAAGCCACTGTGCGTTGAAATGTGTCTTTTTAGGTTTCTTTTTGTGGCAAAGAGCTTGCCGCATTGCGTACACTGTAGACTCTCGATCGGCAAGTCGCTATCGTCGTCGTCTTCCTCTTCATCCTCATCCTCGGATTTGTTTTCCCTGGATACCGAGATTTTGTCTTTCTGTTTATTTGTTCTCTTGTTTTGAGACTGATCAAATACATCGTCTGACGTTTTCTCACTGCATGCAGAATGATTTTTGGTATGAGATAAAAAAGGTTTATGATATTTGAATTCCCTCGAACAAATATTACATATGTACTTGTTTTTCTCTCTCGTGTTGTCTATTATGGTACCACTCCTGGTAACTTTTGTTGATACTTTATTGGTCTTTTTATCCTGATTACTTTCTTGCAACGTCTCATCATCCATCATCCGATGGTTCGTAAACATGTGTTTCTTCAACTTGGCCTTATCCGAGAGATACTTGTCGCATAAAACACATAAATAATAATGCGGATGATGTTTAAGTTTTGCATGTTCCATCAAAGCTGTATGTGTTGCAAATGATTTGATACAATCCGAGCACTTATATCCAGTTGTCCTGCTTATTAATGGCTTTTCCTCGTCGTCGCTACAAGTTTCCACATCTTGATTATCCATTCCTAACAGTTGCTTCAAAACATCCTGATTATCTTCCAATGACATCTCATTCTTAACATCATCCTTTATTGTAACTTCCCTATTGTTGTCTGTTAAATTTTCTGTTTTATCTTCAGATAACATTAATTGCTCCTGTTTATCACAGGAGGTATAACTATCTTCTGACATTGAAGAGCATAGGCGATTTGACTGATCATGACTTATAGGAGATTCATTATTAATTATTGCAGTATTATTGGAAGTAATGAGATCATGAGAGTAAATTTCCATGTCATTGTCCTTTTTCAAATTTACATCAGGCATAGCATCCATGATATCCTTCATATTATTGTCCTGCAGCATAGGCAGTTTCAGAATCTGACGTAGCTTTACATCAGAATTCTGAATCTGACACTTGAAGTCATATGATACATCAAGCAAATGATTGCACGACAGACAAATAGATGATGGAAGACCGTCACCTTCTTGCACCTGTAAATTATAACAACTTATATTATATTCAAAACAATGTGTTGTATATGTATTGAAAACAATGTGTTGAAGTAGTAAGAATAACAACAATTCTTTACAAAATGATTACAAAACTCTAACAAAACGAATATACAGTATTTTGAAGCAGTTTGAATCATGAAATTCGGGAATTCAAAACAAAGCAAGCCCAAAGCTAACCTGCACTGCGCCAATAGCCATCAGCTTCTCCGGTATTCCCCCGTTGTTTTGGAAGAGCTGACATACCTCTGTGCAGGGCTTGAGGCAAATACGGCACTCATTACCCATCAGCTGTTCCGTGTGAACTACGTTATTCACCATCACGCTATCATTTGTAAATGCCATTTATACGGAGGTAGCGGATATTGTAACATACTACTACAATATAGTACAGTCAGTTGTATTTGCAGTGTATACTCTATACCGCACAGTATGTCACAACTCACAACCGACATTTGCCCCGTACGATCTTGTCAGGCTTTGATTAGAAAGAAGCTTGAGAGCGGTCATCCTATTGTAATTTTATACGACGCTTTCGGTTATTGATTTCAGCGCCATACATTTGCAAAAAATAGATGTGAGAACTACCAGAGAGAAGAATGAAAGCGGCCAGAACCTCGATTCTTGAACCAGAAAGAAGAATGAGAGCGGCCACGGCCATAAGAGAATGTGTAATTACTTTTCGTGGACATGATTCTATTCCACGCTATATTCTGTGGACATGACGAGCCCACACGGACGGCGATTCTCACTTGTGTGCGTATCCCTATCACGTCGGTGTTCTCATAGCACAGAATAGAACCATTTTTACGTGTGGACATTACGTATGTATCGACAAGTCGCTCGTGGACATCGCTACGTAGTTGCTAATGTGGACCACAAGCGGAGAGGACCGAAGTTCGAAAATCTTGTTGACAGTAGCGCGTCTTCGTATTGTGCATGATTTGCGGTCTTTTCCCACTACCGAGCGGCGAATCTAGCCGATCGCTAGCGAACGGACAGGCGGGCGGACAGGCGGCGGCCATATTATCAGTGAGGTGTCAGTATTTTCCGAACGTGACGGAAGATTTTTGGGTGTGGATTGCGGGATTTCCTGTTTCGCTGGCTGTGTCGCGGTACAGGCGCAAGTGTACGAGTGCCAGACGGTCCGTCGTGGATGTGGTGCGGAATTACACACGTGTCACGGGATCCTCGGGAGCGTGCAGGCAGAATCAGGTATAAATGCGTCGTGCGTGCATTCTGAATTTGTTCGTATGCCTGCGGCAGGTTATTCGTTTTTTCATCTCTTCGTTGTATGCATCACCGCAAATTGTCTACTCGCTTGTATCTTGACTTGCTTGAGAGGATTTCGTGGCCGAAGAGATCGTTGAAGCGACGCGACGAGACGAAAGATCACGATTCTTTCATCGCGCCGCCGGCAATCAACGGCACGCCGGATCACAACGTCGCTCTTTGGCCGGTAACGTCGATCAGCTCTCGTTTCAAGTTAAGCCTTCGTAATTTTATGTTTGATTTGATAACATTTTTTCATTCACCGTGTCTTTAATTTGAGAATGTGTTCGAAAAAAAAATAGAAAATAAGTTAGTTAAACAAAACGAAGATGTACATTGACTTCCTTCTCAACTGCGTTCGTTGTTTTCTTTCTCTACATGTATTATCATGTAGATGTAGAACGATTCAATTAGAATTGATTTAACGGAAAACTAATCCAAATGTATCAATGTTAGATCTTTATCACGTCAATTAAATTTAAAAAAATAGAAATTGAATTGATCAAACGGACGTTTGGTGTTTTTAGTGAATTTGTACAACAAAAGTGATTTAAAAAGAGAGAGAGAAGTGATTAAAAAAAGATCAAGAATATTTTCTACATAAACTATTTTTAATGTTTCAATATTTTGTAAGATATTTTTCTAGAATTTAAAACATAATGATACACATAGATATCTTTGGAACAAATATTTTGGTTTGGAATAAATATTTTGACAATTTTATTTCAGAATCTTATAAGGTTTAACACTTCAATGCTTGCAAATAACATAAGCAATTTTTTTAAATTCTAATAAAAGATTTTATTACGTATAAAGCATTGTATATTTTACAGTACATAGAATGTTATTAATAAACATCAGTTATTTCATACATATATATTTATACATATGTGGAATGATTGATGATTATCAATAACAAACAACACACATTATCTGTTAGTATCAGAATTATCACTGAGAAAGAAACGAGAAATCTATATTAATGTTTATACTATTTATCCTTGCACACCTGTCTTGCACTTACGACTTCTTAACCTCTTGCTTAAAACGTATAGAGATTACATTACGTGAAGGTACTCGGCGTTATATCCCACGGCGTTTTTCAGAGCAATTTCATACAAAAATCCTTGGATGCTCGTTCTCACCGCGCGCGTACATGTGTGTCGCGCTAAAACGTAGCTCATTTTGCTGCTCATTTTGTGTTTATTGAAATCACTGTAAATAACGGGACATCTCCCCTGAGATAAACACTCGAAGAAAGTACACAGGTAACCGTAAATTCTGTTTTTTTTTTCTATATGAAAAATGTGTACAGGGTGTTTCACAATGAAATCAACCACTTTTCATCAGCGTGTGTTTCGATTATTCTAAGTAAACTTATTTGTTTACTGATATACGTATTGAAAAAAATATATAAAAGAGCAAATTACTCAATTTTGCGATAACGTGATATGTCCAAATTTATCATGATTTTCTGAAGTCAAATTGAATCATCATCGTATTCACATGCCGATGCTTTCACAAGGATGTTATCATTTTCAGTCACATAGCAAGGATATTGTAGCATATCGTACAGCTTCTTTCTGCTAACAACTGTTGATATTTTTGTTTTACTGTTGATCTTCATTGATTTAGAAATCTCAATCACGGGACATGAATGTAAGAAATCTGGTGAAGGACGCGTATTTCTTGTAGCAAAACATGGTTTCGAGATTTTGAAATTGGCATAACTATATATTGTGGTTTTATTTTATATTTTTTAAGAATATATATATATATATATATATATATATATCACAAATAGTTTTAAAACTAATAATTTGTAATCCGTTAAAAACTTTTTTACATTAGATATGCGTATATTAAACCAGTTTTTTAAATATCTAAAAGATTAAATTCACTACTTTTTCGAAATTCCACTAGTTTTCGCGGTTTGTTTTGCTTATTACAATGCTTGTCTAAAAAAAACCGGATATTCGTCACATAAGTCACTGTTAATTTCACGTATATCGAACTCAGCATATAGTTAATTACGATCCTCATTTGTATGCATGACCTTGTCACTCAACTAAGATGATGGTGTTTGTATACATTATGCAATTTATATATAATTTATTTATGACGAGTAAAAAATATATCAATAAACAATGACATCATCATCCGTGAAAGTAGAACTTGTCAATGAATAACCTCGAGACGAATGATTTGATTTGAAGCTATCTGAGATTCTTACTATAGTTACACATTTAACAACAACAGAACATCTAATCGTTATCTTACATCTCTGAAGATCTATACTTTTTTATTATAAGAGTTTCACGGTAAAACCGCACGCGCGTTACATTTACGTTAACAGTGGTCACATTTAACGTTAAGTGGCGCTACATGAAGATAAGCGTTTAAATGTCGTGGCGCAAATTTTATCCATATTTGCTCAATGTCAAGATCGCATCAAATGTAAACACGGGACGATAATTAGACAGTTATATCTATCGCTGGGAATACCGTAAGCACAACTTAAATGACCGCTATGGAATTTTCTTTATCGCGAATTTATAAGTTATCTGAGACATTAACAATTAATTAAGATAAGGCCCAGAGCACAATTTGATAGTACAATTGATAGCGTTTATATAACGTATCTCTGTTCTAATCATTTAAAAAATACGACGCGATGACGTATATGTTATTGTATGAGCAATATTTTGTTACACTTGTGATTTTAAACTTGTCGCGTAATACGTTCGAAATAGCATATAACGTAGAAAATATTATTATCTAGTTTTCATTGACAAAAACCGCGAATGAGTCATCGTTTAGCAAGGTTTAACGTAATATTCTTTTTTGTCGGAAATGTGAAATTGTCTCGCATTAAAATGTCACAGTTATTTAACTAAATTAAATTGGCGATAATTATTGTTTAAATCAAAGGTCATTAACTGTAAAAATTTATATCAAATTTATGTTGTAATATCATTTAACTTTATTTACTAGATGTATGTTTTTATCTCTGCTATGCGGATAGGTTAATATCTATGTTTGCACAAGACGATTCTTCGATGACAAAGTTTGAAAAAGCAAGAGATATACTAGGTGGTTGAACGAACTGTCAGTCTTGAACAAAGAGGAGACATTCTAGACGACGCAGCTCGATGAACTCGGGCCCTCCTCATTAGAACGAATGTCGGTCACGTGAATTTGTACTATAACTCATGCATGTCCCTCTCTGATTTTTCGACGCAGGAACGTGTCTCTGTATTACACATGAGCTTTAAACAATATTATATATATACATATATATATGTATATATACACGTGTTTATTGAAAAGGTTACAAAGTTTAGAGAGAAAGAAGAAAAGAAAAATGAAAAAGTAACAAAAAAGAAATTATTAATAATAATCGTTAGATGTGTGTGTGTGTGTGTGTGTGATTAGAAATATAATAGTTGTTTGCTGTTAAATGGTTATGTAATATTACAATTGTAAAATGGTTAATAACGACGTTCTCGCGCGATACTTAAGCACCTGTAATTAAATCGTTAAAATCGTTGGCAACGATGCATTTAATGAATAAATGAGTTACAGTCGGTCAGTCAAATATGCAATTCATCTGGTAATAGTAATATTATATGCATCTCATTATACATCAGTCTTTTAAACATTTATTTTCATTATCTGTTTTATTTTATTCTTCTCAACTGTTTACTACTATTAAAAAAATTGATATAAAAACTCCGAACACTTGATTAATCAATTTACATTAGAATATAAAGTAACGGTAACTGTATGACAGTCGTGTATTGTTATTTTTATATTATTATCTCGCTCAATTAAAGAAACAGAAAAAATCGCTTACGCAATCTTCGCGATGCTTTTATCATTCTTCGTTCTTTATTATTAAGTAATTATTTTTGTCGATTACACTTGTAATAAAAAAATCAACACAAAATTTGCAAACTGTATAATCAAAAAAACTATGTTTCATGATATAATATTACAAACCAGTTTTCTATCACAAAAACTTTGATAAAGATCATCTTTATAAACTGTGTCAAGAAAAAAATTGTTATACTTCTTCAAGTTTTATATTTACCTAAAAAATGTGGCGGATTAAAAATTAAGTGTCATACTGTATTCAAAAGTCTCTTGACGTCAATGATCGATATATGTCACTTGTTGAATCAGATGTGACCACGTAATACGTATGAAGTCAATACTTGATATCCCTTAAGTATTGGATGATTTTATTTGATTGTTTTCGTAACTTTATTCAATAGTATTATTTGAAAGCACATGAAATTTTATTATATTCTGTTTTTGTTTCAGAGGAATAGTTCTATTGTTGAGTGCGAGACAATACAACTGCCACGATGCCGAAGTCGGTACGTATTCTAACAATTTGAAGTAACTTATCTACTTTGATATTATATATATACTTTGAATTGTTAACAAAGTATTAAAATACCAAAAAGTGCAATTTTGCAGTATCTACATGTACATATTTACCAAATGTCGTCCTGCTGTGTAGTATTGTACATAAAAAATGTCACGTCTGTGTTCACTTGCAATAATTTTTATGTACGATAAGATTGCACATACTTTACTCGTGTGAGTAACAACCACGAATTACTCGTAAAAAAACTGACGAGGAGAATAGAGCCAAAGATATTTGCAAAAAAGTACCGTATAACGTTTACTAGTTTCCTAATGCAATAAAAAACATGTAATAAAAACATGTTTATATAAATTTTATATCGCAAAGTAAATTATGTTGATTGTTACAGCATTGAATGAAATATAAAAATTTAGGAAAGTTAGAACGATTTTTCTATTGGGTATCTTTCTGACTGAAAGATCTCTTGACTGATTTTATTTTTAACGTCAGGGGAAGACGGAAAGAGATACGTATCGTGTTATCTGCTGCACGGTAAAGAAACAGTGAATAATACAGGAAACCGTAGCGCGCGCGTTCTCTGACGAAGATGCAGCAGTATTTAAAACGCTTTTTTCAAACATTACATAAGGTGATATCTTTTATTGGAATCGGCGGTAATGAACACTTGCGCGCAGAAATAAAACGTCGTACGTACTATTATGTAGATGGATGTTTTCGTATGACGTTCACAGCTGAATTCTTTTTTACGCGGCCTATTTAACGAGTATGCTTATTACATAAGAAATTATGATCTTTTTAGTTTTTGCACTCTTTTAGATAAACTCGGTAATTTACACAAAATGCAAGTGAACAAAAACTTATGTCTGTTGTCTTAAGAGGCATAGATATTTAAACTAAGTTAAAAATGTGTTAAAGATATTATTTGTACGTATATATTTCAGATTTTTACTAAACAAAAAACTTGTTCTAGTATAGCGGATATCCAATTTAAAAAGAACTGTAAGTTGTTTTTACAAGAATTGTAAGTTGTATTTCAAGTTATTTAAAACATCTTGTAGGTCGGTGGCGATGTAAGGAATGCGATATCGCAATGTGAAAGGCATATCGGCCTTTAACGCATCTGAAGTCCGCAAGGAATATCTATATCTTTCTATTCACTCGTGTCGCAAAATTGTTAGAAGTTGTTAAAGTTTTCTTTTCTAAAAGTCTCAAATACAGAATGTAAAATCTATTTAGAATTCTGTGCTACTAAAATTTATATACTTTTAAACGTTTAAGACAAAGAGCATAAGCTACTCTTTTCCGAAAAAAAAAAAATCTGAACTTCGTGATTTATACATTTTTACTGATATATATATTGGACACTTGTTGCATCAAAAATGTCTTCTAGTTAGAATATTGAAATATTCAATATTGTAAATTATATAAAAAAATTGAACTATTCAATTATTTAGAATATACCACACTAATTAATCGAGTATCAATCTTAAGTTGTAATTATTATCGCTTAGACTTTGATACAAGAATTCAAGTCACTTTGTGAAACAAAATCCGCTGATTGCGTCGAGACGTATCTCGTATCAGACTCAACAAATAGCGATACAAATAGCGTTCGTTCCACGCATATCGCCCACGCTCCCGCATTTTATAGCAGCATAGGAAGTTGTCGCGCAAAGACAAGCGCGTGCTTCGAACTTCCGTATCCTCAGGAAATCCGCAGTCGCGACAAAAAAATTACGTAATCAAATCAACAGCTTTGTGCGAGCAACGGTCGCACGCGCGTCCACCAATCAGCGTAATCTGTCGTCAGTTTCCGAAAACGCTCTTGACGTTACATTGCATACACGCGAAGCTCGAACCAGGCGCGGTCGCTTCCTTCCGCCGGTTCCCAGTATCGGCCGTCGTTCGGCGAGTCGCGATTGGCTAACGCGTCGCAGACCGGCCTTCTCACGTGACCGACGCTTACGCGCTGTTCCGCGCGCTCTCTCAGAGCGGGGGAAGCGTTGCACCGTTGCGCGTCGCGTCGTGTATCCACGGGAACGTTAAAGGAGCGAAAGAGAGGGAGTGAGGGAGAGAGGAAGAAAGGAAGAGAGGAATAATCGTGCCGGTTGCACTTTGCATCGTCCCGGCCCATTGTGTCCAGCCGAAGAAACCGGCGAAGGCCGTTCGCGCTCTTACCCAACGTCGAATTTTGCACTATCGACGTTATCGCCTCTCGCGCCGTGTCGTGTGTCCGACGCTTCCATTTCGTGTGTTTATTCACAAATACTTTCAAAAAAAAAGAGAAGAAGAGTGTGTTCTAATTATAAGTAAATTCTTGGTGCAAAGGTGTCAGACGAATCTCACAAACATGGTCGCCGGCGGCAAGATGGTAAATTCGAAACTTATTACCTTTTCTACGTGCATGTGCATTCAAAGTCTAATTGAATATTGTGCGTTTTATTCACAAAATTTCATATGCGAAAGAGAAGGAACTTTACATATCTTCTTATAACATAGTACATGTTTTAAATATACAAGAAAGTATAGTTATATTGATAAGTTTTGTGTATGAGAAAAAATCGGTCTTATTTCGTCGGGCGATTGTGTTTCACTTATCTGATTGTGTCGTTTTATTTGCATATGCTGCTCCATGAAGATGAACGTGAGGGTGACGACGATGGATGCGGAGCTGGAGTTCGCGATCCAGCAAACAACCACCGGAAAGCAATTGTTTGATCAGGTTGTGAAGACGATCGGATTGCGCGAGGTGTGGTTTTTTGGTCTTCAATATACTGACAATAAGGGCGACCTTACATGGATCAAACTTTACAAAAAGGTAGGATTTACTCGCATATTTATTCCTATGCTTTGTCCTGCTTTCTGCTTATAATCTATTCAGAGCCAAGATTATAAATTATTCTCTTCCCGATAGTTCTGAACTTTTGTATTGTACAATTTCTCTTTGTCCTTCCAAATAAGTCTGTGCAATGAAAATTATCTTTATATTGTACGAATATTCATTTCAAGAGTACTTTAGCCACGATAATAATTGAAACCGGTTATAAATCCCCTTACTCTAGTTGTAGTTCAAAGATGTTTACAGCAAGCAAAATTCCATCGTGATCAGCTTTCGATCCGATGGCACAGAGCCGAACTGCGTGGGTTGCGACATTATAGCATCATTCTCGCGTGACATATGAGACTCACCCGCGCGTATCGACGTCGGAAATGATGTCAAAAAAAATATTTGATTTCAAATTAGATTAAACAAAGTCCTATCGATTTGGAGTAATACACTATTTAATCAATAATCATATTAAATATTAATGAAAACAAAAAGTGAATTTCTTAACGAAAGTATGAATATACACATGTATGTACTTTCAACAAGTTTCTTATTAACAAGAAACAACAGAAGAAAACAAATTTCTATTGAAGTTTTTTAAAGCACTAAAAAGATATTAGAGTGAGTTACTTAATTAGCTTTGTTGCAATCAGAGTTGCAAATTAGATGTATCGGATTTTTTTGTCTTGCATACGGTTCACTTCGTGGTCGAGTGTGCATCAGATTTACGCTTACGCACACGCAAAGTATATGGAATTAATGCACGAAGTAGCAAGTAATTGCTGACTTCCTAAGGAATTGCACGTAGCAAGTGCCCTGGCAATATATTGTATAGGGAGTTTTAAATAACGGTCGATAGTGCCGGAATACTCTACGCGTCGCGCCGGTTCACACGAAACCTGTTTTTAGGCGTCTGCAATATGGCAGTCTAGATGGCTTAGGATTATGCTTCCTTAAATTTCTTTGGTTATGTATCTATAAGTTGTTTTATATTTTGTTATGGGTCATTAATATTTATATAGAATTATATCAATTTCTATGTTTCGCGTATATTTATATATATTCTTAATTTATTCTTAGTCTTTTCATTTATGTAATTTTTCTTTTTTACTCTCTAATTTCTTCTTAAGATATTGATGTCTTCTTAAGACATCGCGTGTGATCGACATGCAACAGCTTTTTATTAAATTTTATTATTTATATGTAGTAATGATAAAAGAGGTTTTTTTTTTAGATCTTAGTTCGTCGGTGACAAATACTGATGTCATCGGCTTTCAAGTGCGAGACACGTGTTCGACGTTCTTATGGTTCTTTTTCTGTCCCCGACGTACCAGTGAGTACGGTTGCTCTGACGTTATTGCTCAAAGACGTCATACAGAAGTGCACAGACTTTCCTCGTTTGTAGAATATCCCAAGTTTGTAGAGAATTGCGAATATTATTTAAACTAAATTCGCTGTTAAAGTCCGTCGTGATTTACTTATCTCAATAAACGTACACTCTTTTAGAAATTAAAAGTTCGTAAAGTTTTTGTGAAAGTGTTTTGTATTTCTTGCTTTAAAGTCTACGTAATTTGAAATTATGTAAATCGTTATTTTATGCTAATTCACATCAAAATTATTGGAAAATATTGAAATATATCAAGTATTTTTTTTACGGCTGACTCTCGAGAATTGCGATTTGTTCAAGAATAAGGACTTCCGATGTGTATCAAACCGAGTTCGAGAAACTTTCGAGGCATATTCCTCTCCGAATAAGATTTGTACATGTATAGTTCCACGGAGTTTGGCATTTAGTTGAGAGCAATTTCTGTTGAAGAAAAATTGTGAAAATTCAAGCTAAATGTTCGATAAATTTTTATCACGATATTATCTCGTTAGAGAAAAAACAAACTTCTTGCTTTAAATATCATAATTATAAAAGAATTAGTTCGTTATTTAAGTGATGAGTCAAATCAGCGTAATCGTTTTTTTAAGTATTATATCGTCGCTGGTTCGGTGAATGACTATGTAATTCCCGTTTTATGCTACTTGTTCGGGAATCGAGTGACTTCAATTTTCGAGTACAGTTACGAAGACCAAGCAGCACTTCATCTGCTTTCACCGGCCGGTTAATGCCGGAGACGACGCGCCTTCACCTTGACACAGTCGCCACTTATCACTCGACGACTGGTCGCCTTTTTCAGCAAATCGGCGATTTTCTCGTCGGCGACAACCTTCTTCAAGAGATTTTTTGCCTTGTCATAGAGTCGAACGTTTACGTGGACTTTCAAACATGTCTGACAGGAAAACAGAGAAAAACCACTGCGACAGGTGCTCGCCAGGTGAAGTGAAAATTGCTCGTGGTTAAATACAGATACGGCCGGTCACTGAAAACCACCTGGTACGGAAGTAGTTTCAGTGTAATATTTTTTGAAACTTGTGAAACACATTTCGCGTAAAAATTACTACTCTTATATATAGTATAATAATAATTTAGCGTTTATTTAGATAGTAAAAGTAGATTTATTGTAGAAAAAAAATCGAATTGTGTTATGCAGCTTTAGTTTTTGAATTCAAAAATGTAAAAACAATTGCCTCTATTATATTTGTTCTCTCCGTAGAGCTCGTCAAAATTATATATAGCTATTTTTATTTGTAAGTACCGTAAAAGTGTACTTAAATATGCGCCGATGTTAGCACACTTCCGTGTGATCCATAAAACATCAGAGCTAGATTCCATTGCAGATGAATAGCTGTTAGAAAACAAAGATGGGAAAAAATTAAATAGGTCAACGTGATATACACACGAGGAAACATCTTCTGCAATTTCTTGTTGTAACTCATATTTATAATGCACAAAAGAGTTTAATTAACTTTCTCTTGCTAAACTATTTTGAAGACGATATACAAATACATATGACAATTTATTATTTAAAGCACAATTTTAGCTTCGTATTTAGAGTTTCTTTAGATACAAATATTCTCAAACACTTGCTTTAACACTTTTTTCATAATAAAAATACTTGTAGCTCATAAAATCATAAAGAGAAGCGCGTAAGGATCAAGTTACTTCTTATCTATTGTGACTTACTGCAATTTTTTAAAAATGACTCTAGATAATCTGATTTACGAGAGACAATATATATTAATTTAGCATCATTAGAGATTAGATAGTGCAATTCTAAGTTATCTGTTATTGTAGATATCGGGTTATTGTGTAGCAGTACGTTAATCAATGACTCATTGTTTTTTTTTGTTTTTTTTTTTTTAATGCGGATATAGTAAAATTGTTGTAGTAGTTTTGTTTGCTCGACTAAGATGATCCCGCAGCTCACACCTTCGTAATGAGTCCCTTTCAATTAGCGCTGCTCCGCCGTTCGCAAAGAATTCTCCAAGTTTTCTTTTTAATGACGAAGACTATTGTATGCAGCCGGAAAGCGCGATAGTAAGGGTGGTGAAGAAGGAAGTGAAAAAGAAAGTTCGAAAGTTGAGAGGCTGCTCGGACTCGGACACAGACGACGACGAGTTTGAGGACAGTCTGGTAAGAGCTCGAAAGGACACGCGTCTCAAAACACGTTCTGACACGAAAAAGAAGTGTGAAACGATGGAAAAATAAACTGCTGGTGATTAGTCACACACGTAGGATGACACTATTGTTTTATAAGTAGGATAATAGTAAAAGAAAAAAACAAGGATTTTGGAAAAATAAACATATTTACAAGTTTTTTTTTATTGTAAATATTTCCAAAGAGACAGAGGGAAAGGATGATAAAGTTAAAAAAAAGTCACATCCGCAGATATCTCCGGACCCAACGCACATCACCTTTCACCTACAGGTTCTTTGACCGGTTTGAAATCGATGTTTCTTGAGCGAGAATGTCGAAGCAATTTATCATTACTAGTTTTCACATTTCTCAATACTGAGAAATACTTTATGGTTAATATTCAAATCCACCTTTTATTAAATCAAAATTTGTGAAAAAATTCTTTTCAATTATTCACTTAAAATAACTGCACGACTTATTCGATGAATTATTTATAAAACATAACTTTTCACTCTTTTTCTCTCTCTTTCTCTCAAGAAAAAAAGATAATATAAAATGCAGACTAGATAAACATTTTGTAAATCTTGCAAGACTCACTGAGATTAAAAAGAAATGAGGACGTTCCGTCACGATCTTTGTAGAAGCGAGTCTCTTATCGCTTCGCGGTTGCGATAAAAGAGAGAAACGAGAAAGAGGATGAACACAGAGACAACCGCCCTCGCGTATTGTTCGACTGATACGCGTATTGCTTATTAAACGATTCAATCGAGCGTGTTACGTCAGTTATATGAAAATACCGCCCGATGAGTCACGCGATGAAGAATCATCGCCCAAGAAATTTCTTCGCGAGAAAGTGTGTAAAATTTTACAATTGGTTATTTACGATAAAGCAAAGATAATGCCTGTATAAGTTTGCTTAAAAATTGATATAAAATTGGTTTAAAGTGATATGATATAACAATTCTCTTTTTAAAAAATGTTTTTTGTACATTAAATTAATCAAATATTATTCAAGTAAACTATCGGTTTAGTTTACTCTTTTATAGCTCATTCTGTAATTGAATCATATTGTAAACATTAGACCTTAATTTGCCACGCGTTATCTTTTATTACTCCGCTTTTCTCTTAAGTCCTTAGTGACTGCGTCACTTTCTCCCAATTAGGATTCATATTAACCTTTTAATATAGAGGTCGACTCTCGCGCAAATTGCGAATGTTTGTCTTGCGCGATACGCTTGTTGAGATTACATTATTACCCGTTCCTTCTTTCTCCAAAGGCTCAATGAAGAAATTCTTTCTTGCATTAAATTGCCACGGTATAATCTATGTATATACTGAAATAAATATTATATTGCGAGATATTTTTTGATTCACTACTTTCTCTTCTTATTCAAATATAATTTGAAAAAAAGTTCAAACAATTGTTCACAAAAATATTTTTCTCACTTATAAAATAACTTGATTCTTTAAAAAATAAATTTTCTGAAAGTGACGCGAATAACCGTGTAGAATTTTATTAATAACGCGATATAAACTAAACGGCCTTATCACTGTCTAAGACTGTTGGAATTTCGTGATAAGTAAGTTCTGAGATATGGCTAATGTTTCTCCAGTTGTGCTTGAACGTGCACGTTTCATAATTAACGATGCGATGAATTTATCGCTAATTGCATCATAATTTGTTGTAACTAACCGTGAAGCACGACGCGTTCGAATGTTTGTACCTTTTAGGCACGATTACCATCGGAATTTATTCTGGTGAACAGAAAATTAAAGCAAACATGCACTTTGATACAAAATTGTGGTAACAAAGTATGTTTTTCAAGAGTAAAAAACTTTATTTGTTACTTTTACTGTCTTTTTAATGAAATAAATGCAGTTTGAAATGTTCGATAAAAACTGCATTTTCTTTATTTGTCAAACTACACAATACCTAATCTTATTGTCGCGCAAGTGTCACTGTCTGACCGTTCACGTCGTGACTGTGTGATAAAGATGTCGCGTAAAAGTCACCTCGAAGCACAAACTGTGCATGGATTTCAAGGACTTCGGCACAAGGCTTTCTGCAGATGCTTGATCATCGCGGCGGCGGATCGTGGCTCTGTAACATGTTACAAGTCGAAAAAAAAGTTTTTACAATATAAGTGCGCTCTTCGGTCGCGGACTGTGGACTGTTACGTAACCGTCGTGCATTACCAGGATTCTAGCGGGTCGGCACGACGTACGTTTTCCGCGTGTCATTCTCTCGGTCCGGTATTCTCTTCTCTGCGTCTCTCTCCCGCCATGTGTTTCTGCAAGCGCGAATATACTGTTAAGGCCGCGTTAAGGCCTCGCATATAAATCATTCACATCGCACGGCTGTTGAAGATGAATCGATCAAAAATCGATTACGTTCTTGTAATACGGATATCGGAAATCAAATCATAAAAAAATACATTCTTGTAGTTTTAGTATAAGTTTATAAAATGTTATATGTATGTCTTTGAAGTCTTTTAAAAACCCTGAAGTTTTTTTTGTTTTGAAATAGTTTTACATAAAAATTGTAGAGCAATAAAATTATAATTGTTAGATTAGGTTAACAATTATCATTTTATTGCTCCACAATTTTTGAAACAATATTATATTGCTTAAAGAACATTTAATATTTTACAATAAATGAAACTTAAAACAACACTTTTCTGCTGATGCAAAAACAAAATATTTCTCGTGCTCACGACAATCTTTGAAATTATTGTCATTACATGCTGCATCACAGAATTTATTCTGTTTATGTAGTTTACTTGAAAAATCTCGCATTATTTAGAATATCGGTAATTTCAAGGACACGTTCGTAGCCGAGATACGCGGGATGATTTTATATCACAATACTTTAACTTTTTATCGTATTTTTATTCTTTGAACGCATGCCAACCGCAATACTAACAACTGGAAGAGTGGACTTTCGTTATTGTCTAGGGTAAGTGTGGGCGAATTACCGTTTTAAGTAGCGATTTTTGTATGTAAACTGTGTTGCATGCCAACGAAAAGTGATGCACGCGCTCTTTTTTCTGAAACGTCCCGTATCGAAGACTTGTGTAACATTTTCTCACAAATGTCTGCATCTAGCTAAATAAGAAGAATATAGTACACGAGACGTGCTTGTTATCGTCAAACAAGCCGTCAGATCTACATAAAAATAAATTATATGTTATTTGATAAGAAGGCATATTTCTGTGCCGCGCGATTGCAAACATGACTGGTAGGTTTTTTTAATGTGGTCTTTGAAATGCGTTTATAACTCACAGAAAACGCAGATCAAAAAGAAAAACATATGTAGAGTTTTTCCATGACCTAATTATTCTTTGTTATTTTTGTCTGGCGGATGTACGTAACATTACACGATTAATCACGTGTGCATGTGTGCTGAAACTTTCGTATTGTTAGCTTACTTACCGATAAGATAAAATTGTTCGAAAATGTATACTTGTTGTGTGAACTATAATATTTATAATGTGACGCGTTGTATATACAAGGTTAGGTTAGGTTACTTAAACGATTCCTGTTAATTTTATGAATTTAATTTTTAGTACATTTCCATTTTGTTTTTCTGCATTACTAAACGTTCAAACCCATCTTCTTCAAGCGCATACACAATAACACTGTGACTGTAAAAGCAATATATGACACTAGCAACTAATTACAGGTGGTTCCGTGCGGTCTACAAAAAATCTGTCACGTAAGAATTCTAAAGAATTGTTTGGTCCCTGCGTTTTTATTCTTTTTTGAGATTTCAGAAAGAAAAAAAACCTGTTTTTTAAATCCTCCAAAAAGTAGAAGTAATAACACACTTCAGTGCTCGTTTGGTTTTTTATTCATGGCTGTATATTTGAGTTCACATTGTATAGTCAGGTGAAATTGATCATTAGATGATAAAAAAATACATTTCATTAGTAATTCGGAGAAAATTGTATTTATTTATATATTTAATTTTTATTTTGAGATAGGGTCTTTAATTTGCAGATAAGTTTTAATTTGTGCTCTTTTATTGCTCTCTCAACAAAGTGCATAATATTTAAACTTTTCTCTCTATTGCAGTTTTTTCTATATATTTATATACAAAACTATACTTGCATTGATTTTTGCGCCGATTGCTATCAGTAACGCTTTTAGTATTTATTCGATGAGAACGCTTTTCCATTCAATGTTTTTCTTCTTCGTCACTAATTTATAAATAAATAATCGTCAATGCGGAGAGGTCTGAACTTCTCGATGAGGTGATTAATATTGTGACGTAAGTTTTTTTAGTGATATACCTGAGTATAACATTAAAACTAATTAATATACGCTTTGCATACTTTCGAGAATGGATTAATGCAAATGCATTCGTCGCACATAGAGTTCAAAATACTTTTATGCTTAGCAATCTAGAAGACATTTATCAATTCGAGAATGCTTTTAATGTGACATGATGTGACTGATTATATCGTGATTAAGTTTTTGCTATTTTATCTCCGACTTTGAAAAGGCTGTCAATTCTATCGGAAATGTGTATCAATAATGGAAAAGTTCCTTATACGTGTGAGTTATATTACTAAAATTCGTATTAATAATAGAGTAGTTCTGTTTTCTTCTTTCTCTCCCGTCTTTTGTTTATTGTATTTCTTTTACTTCCACCTTTGCGATAGTTCATTACGACAATAAACAAAATTGTAATACTTTTAATCAGCATATATTTTAAGATCAATGGAATATTATTAACTATTTGCACAATATTATTCATGTATATTTACACGAATACATACACGCACACACAAAAGCAATGAAGACATCTGATTTTCATGTTACGGAAATTATTTATTCGCATGTCTACTTGTTAGGTGCAATCTATGAACATAATGCACGCTTTTACACGTTTGAGCATCAAATGTGATCTTTCGTAAAATGAAAAATAATTTTAACTGAATTATTTATACTCTACATATTTGCAGGTGATGAATCAAGAAGTCAAGAAGGAGACGCCACTGCAATTTAAGTTCCGCGCAAAATTCTACCCTGAAGACGTCGCTGAGGAACTGATACAAGATATTACACTCCGACTCTTTTATCTTCAGGTAACACATTGTTATATTACATATTTCTATTTAAATTTTGAATAAATTAAATTAATATTAATTAAACTATTACTAATGTTTTGGTTGCAGGTAAAGAATGCTATCCTCACAGACGAAATATATTGTCCACCGGAAACATCCGTTCTGTTGGCCTCATATGCCGTCCAAGCAAGACACGGAGACTATCAGAAGGGTAGCCATCCTGCTGGCTTCTTGGCAAACGACCGTTTATTACCACAGCGTGTTGTGGATCAGCATAAGATGAGCAAGGAAGAATGGGACAGTTCCATTACAAATTGGTGGCAAGAACATCGTGGCATGCTGCGAGAAGATGCAATGATGGAGTACCTAAAAATTGCTCAGGTATCTTGCTTGAATCGTACACAAGAAATAACTGTAATCTTAATCTACGATGACGTATTAGAATATCCTACTTTTGTATAGTTTGGCTTAACAAAATTTTGATTTATAAATTCTTAAAAAATATTTGCTTATACTTTTATGAATTACTTATATTTTACAATTCTGTGTTTAAAAAGAACTGAATGTTTCTGTAAGGCAGTATTTTTTTCTTTCCAAGAATGTTATTATTTTCTATTCCGAAATATTTTGCCGTGTGAAGAGTTAAAAAATACTGCTGCTTTTGGATTTGGTGTTATCGGTGTCGTTTTAGTATTTTTCGTGAATTTTGTTTTTCGTAGGACTTAGAGATGTATGGTGTGAATTACTTTGAAATTCGCAACAAGAAAGGCACAGACCTTTGGTTGGGTGTGGATGCTTTAGGTTTGAACATCTACGAGAAGGATGATAAGCTTACACCGAAAATCGGCTTCCCGTGGTCCGAGATACGGAATATCTCGTTCAACGATAAGAAATTCATAATCAAGCCAATCGACAAGAAGGCACCGGACTTTGTATTTTTCGCCACCCGAGTCAAGATTAACAAGAGAATTCTCGCGCTATGTATGGGTAATCACGAGCTTTACATGCGCAGACGTAAGCCGGACACGATCGACGTGCAGCAGATGAAGGTACGGAAGGTTGTGTTAAATATACAGACATAGTGTAGTATTGTATCGCACTGAGCCCCACAACATCAGTGAAAGTGAGTTCTTGACGTATTTACTTATCTATAGCTGATTATGCAACGTTATCATTAATGATTAGCATATTCGACATCGTTTTACGTAACACGTTAACGTAGCATATTGAACTTATCTATAGTAATTAAAGTAATATTATTTGACATCTTTTTGAAGAACAAAGTATTTTATGGAGTTGTTAAAATACATTTTGCTTTAGTATAATGAATATTAAGACTTGATATTAAATATAAAGTTATAATACAAATTTATCCCTGATTAGGCTCAAGCCAGGGACGAAAAGATCGCAAAACAGCAACAGAGAGAAAAATTGCAACTGGAAATAGCTGCTCGTGAACGCGCGGAGAAAAAACAGCAAGAGTACGAGGAAAGGCTAAGAAATATGGCGGAAGAAATGGACAGGCGGCAGGCAGAATTGAACGAAGCTCAGGAAATGATTCGTCGCCTGGAGGAACAACTGAAACAGTTGCAAGCTGCTAAAGAAGAGCTAGAAAATCGCCAAAAGGTGAGTCTTACATAATTGTACTTTAATATTCAACAATATTTATTGTTTATTTTCTACTTCCATGAACTTACGTGTAACTCCGATTGTATTGGACGTCTATTTTGCATGACGCAGGAATTGACGGCGATGATGGAGAAATTAGAACTTTCACATGAAATGGAAGCTGCGGAGCGCGCCAAACTCGAGCAGGAGATAAGAGCTAAGCAAGAGGAAGTGCAACGCATACAGTCTGAAGTGGAGGCGAAGGACGCAGAAGCCAGGAGATTACAGGCTGAGTTTGAAGCTGCCAAGTATGAACAATTTTTTCATATTTTTTTTTTTTTATCATTATTTCTTAACTGTAATTATACTTAATTGCTGTACGTCACTACTTATTATGCAAGGATGAGACAAGAAGAAGCCGACCGCCAATATCAAGCTAATCAGACTCCGCATCATCATCACGTTGAGGAAAATGAAGAAGGCGAGGAAGAGGGTGAAGACGAAGTTCCTCCCGGTGACGTCACCAAGGATCTCGCAACTGACGAATCGATAATCGATCCCGTCGAGGAGCGACGCACTCTGGCAGAGAGAAACGAACGTCTTCACGATCAATTGAAGGTATATATTACTATTACAGAAAATATATAAATTATGTTAATGCTATATTGTAACTATATGATTTCATAAAATTTGTGTACTAATAATAAAGCATTCTATTAAATTTTATAATAATTAACAGGCGTTGAAGCAAGATCTTGCCCAGTCACGCGACGAATCCAAAGAGACGGTGATGGACAAAATCCACAGAGAAAATGTACGTCAAGGTCGTGACAAGTACAAGACGCTGCGCGAGATCCGCAAGGGCAATACTAAACGTCGCGTTGATCAGTTCGAAAACATGTAAAGTGATGACGCGCATTTAATATTACCTTATTTACGTCCTTTTCTATCTTCAACATCTCATCTGACTTCGCGAAAGCGGAAATTGCAGTAAAATGATAAACGAGATAAAGCGATGAAGAGAGGAAGATAAACAGAAAGAGAAAGAAAAACGTAGAGAGGTATAGATTCTACAATGATGTATAAACAGAATTATTTTGAATAACACTTTCGATAAAAATTAACTCCAACTTTTCTTGAATCAATGCAAATAACGCGTAACTGTATCCGCGTATTTGACATTGCGAATAATTTTCGCGTTAAACGACGTTTTGATATGACGATTCTATACCTTCATGCAAAATAATAATCAAAGCTCTCAAACGTTTGCGGCGAGGAACGGAATGAGAGAAAGCGACTTGCGCCGTCTTCCATGTAATTTTTTCACAATTAATGCTGCACGATTGACTCTATCCGGAAATAGCATGTATGTTTCACGGAAATTGAGCAAATTTTCTTGCTATTTTACGCGGGAAGAGTCGCCTGCAAAAGCGATGATCTTTACTTTTTAGTTTATCTGTCATTTGTTCGATCAATTCTATGTGTATGGTTGTTTCAATATTTTATCTTTCAATATAGTTTCGCTTCGAGCAGGCTATTCTCTCGCTGGAATTACAAGAAAATTGTGATTCAATCTGTTACCGTCTGTTACTTAACCGTTTTTTTTTCTGCGTCGGAAGACTCGATATCTCGATATATCGAGGTGCCGGTATTGTTTTGTTTCGCAATAAATATTACTGCCGGTTATTATTACACGGATTGTGAGACGCTTATCTTCACTGCTGGTTTCCTACTGTTCTTTATTTTACTCCGTTCGTTGCGGTCCTTATCGCGCCGTCACGTCATCATCCGTCCTCGACGATAAGGATTCGCCTTTGAGAAAAAGGCCTACACCGCCAGTAGCACCATATTACCACTATCGTCACACGCGTCGCGACGATATACTCGCGATCGTCACCCGTTAATGGATGGTTCTGTTTGTACGCTTAATTCAGGCCATATTTTGTAAACAGCGCGGGTTATTATTCTGTAACTTCAAACGCATGGGTTAAAGATATAACACATGCTTATGCTATTATGGATCCTTGCGCAGATAAAAATGTATCACAGCTGCGCAACAATGCGCTAACGATATAACAGAATTGTTTTAAGTTACGGAATAAGGGTGTGAAAGCAAAGGTGTACGTTCGGAGTTATTTGTGAAAGTTGTCTCGGTCTTTTATCCGTGAAACTCACGTGACATCCGATAGTTTATTTGGCAATTCGTTATAAGCCATTTCTAAACACCAGCCATAGAGGAATCGAGATAGGGCACACATATGGTTTATATTGTAGCGATAGACATTTAGACGTAAAACTTTTCATTAACTTCGTACAGCAACCGTCTCTCGAGCGAGGAAACGTGGCACGTGGTTCTATCTTGGCATTTTCTCGGAAAATCTGACTGAAATGATTTAAACAAACTATCTGAGATACAAGTATCTCGCACATTTAAATACGTTGAAAACAGTTATTGGATAAATTTTCACAAATGTTGCAAGGACAAATGTTTTACGATTGTTTCCTTGTGAAATCACACACAAATTGTTAATGCAGCGCAATCCGTCACCCAGATTAAACGATGGCATGGCCTATTTACTACTATCGATAAAAGCCGTACCAAACTATTTTCGTACGAGAGCGATTTCAACACAGCGATTAGCAATTTTATATTGAACACACTCGTGGCCTTTACTTGATATAAATATATATATATATAAATATATATATATATACATATATCGAAGTACTATATAAGTAGTACCGATTTAATAAAACTATTAAAAAGATATGTAAGGATATTGCGCTGAGATAATGGATTCGTTTTGCATACATTTTCAACGCGATGTTGAACAGCGCGATATTCACAAGTAGGTTAGTAACCAAGATTTTTGAAAGAATGAGAAAACGAGTACGAGAGAGGGAGAGAATGTGATAAGGGAAATAATTAACCGTGTGTATGAGCGAGTGAGAAAAAACATGTGTGAGAAGTCGAATGATAGAGCAATCACATTTATTATATGGCAGTTTGGTATGCCATTTGTAATTTTTAAAACCTTTTGTCTTTTTAAAAAAAAATTCTACAAAATTCAAACTAACAGAAACTTGAAATACGCGTAACCTTGAGATGCTGCCAATTTTCACATGACGGAATGCAAAGTGCGATAAAAATCAGTTTGTTATACAGGCGAACGAGCTGCGTAAACTTCGAATGCGAAGACAGTTCGTGAAGTAAAAAGAATGATAAATTCTGCGCCAGACTTTGTACTTTGCTATATTATCATCAGCCGCATGTTACAATAATAATAAATATCGCGAAATAGAAAAGAGGAAAAAAGTACAGAAGTATAATAACGATAGATATTTTTGATTATATTTTAATAATTAAAAATTTACAAAATAGTAATGTTATATTATTAATTAATATTAATGTTTACAATTTAGTAGCGTTATTATTATTTTATTCTTATGCAGATAATATTGAGCGAAAACTAAAGCAAAGCATTTTATAGTCGTCAATTTATACTCTTAAGATAATCTAGTGCATAGATTTAGTTGCAGGTGTTCACGGTAAAAGAGAACTAGGTTTTCAAAACTCTTTTAATTTTAAAGTACATGTATTTTTCGATTTTCGATTTATATGTACATATTTGTATGTATATATATATATATATATATATATATATATATATACACACTATATATGTATATATAAATCGAAAATCGAAAAAAATATATGATTTATTTTAAAGATATGTGGAATTTTGCATTTTTCCATAAACGTATCTATTTAAAAAATGTGTGACAGCATTAATTTCAATTTCTTTTTAGCCTTACGTTTCAAGATATATAGAGTTGCAACTAAATGTATGTGCAAACGAAAATATTCTTAGTTGAAAAAGATCGCACGATATATAACACTCTAACTGTCGATAAAGCGAAAACAAGCAAACAAACGTGAAAGTTGATTTCGATATTTTTTTGGCGATTAAACGCTTTGCCGAAACCGACAAATTTTTATTGAAACATTCCAAAAAAATTTCCTGTGAAGTGCTTTTTCTCCTCAATTTACTTTGGATTTCTTTGAGAGCGACAAGTTATTTTCATTTTTCATATATTTATTTTGAATTATATAGAGATGCGCCCCTTTTGAATTTTTTTGCCGATACCACACACACACACACACACACACACACGGTGCTATAGCATCTCTTTACATTAAAAATATTAGAATTGCAGTGCATTTAGCATCAGCATAAATTCTTTTGACTCGCCCTTTTTTAAGCCGAGATCAAAAAACCTCAGCAACATTGTAACGCATTCTTTTCCTGTTTCTGCACTCGCAAAAAAGATCTTTGTAACAGTATTATCAAAAGTTTATATTAAAAACAGCGAGAATAATACGAGACACGTTTACGATGCAGAGACGATCATCGTATCCAAATACAACCAATATTCCTTTTGGTGCAAGAATATAAATGGAAACTACTTGTACTTTCTTGGAACTAGAAATTGTTTAAATAAAACGTTTATGTCAAACTCGCCGAAAGTAATCGATTTTCCCTGATGCATTAAGTAATCTCTCTAATTTAAATTACTCGTCCTGTTTTTAAAAATTATCACTCAAAACTACCGTTACGTCGCACATGCGTTTATGTAACGTTCGCAAAATATCGGTAAGTGTCGGCGATGTTCGGCGAAAATCGTGACCTGCGGCGCCTGCGTTCCAGCAGTCCCTCAGCAATCAACGACAGCGGTGGACGACGGATGAGACAACGTTCGTTTTGTTTTTTTTTTTCGGACAAACGTGAAAATGGCACATCGCGTAGAACAAAGTCAAGCTACGAGAATCCCCGGCTGCAGCTCCACCGACGATGAGGACGTCGATCATATTAGGTGGGTCAGCTGAAACCCTGTATGAACACGTGGCTTTGTGTGATCAGCCGAATTCGAAGGTGGAACCGGCGTTCACGTTACCTGCTATTGGCAATGTCTCCTTTGTTTACATACTTTTTTGTAGTGCTCGATATAGCTTGTCAAATAAAATTCAGAGCGGTTCAACTGACGCACAATTATAATTCAACATACACGTGAGCAAGTGCGTATAAGTTGCTCGTATAACGAGCATGATCTGAATGCATTTCAATTGATTGTCATCATTGTTAGTTTGGTCGAGCGCTGTACGACGAACCTCCGTATTGTGTGTCGTCGTAGTGATAAGTCGGCAATGAAGCGCAATGCGAATTCTTGATTGTAAACTCTTGGCACTACGCGTGAATATAAGATGTATATATATCTTTCTGTTTATCAATGTTTACAGTTATAATTCGATGTTGCTCTTAAATATTTAAAAGTAACAAAAAAATTGGACGTGTATGTGCGTATATTTTTCTGTTCAAATTTCTCTCTTATAAAATTTATTGATACAGTTACATCATGTTATATAATTATTAGTTTTAGTTTTCTTGGAAAAAAATGCTTTTTCCAAGAATAGAGATAAAAATTAAAATCTAGTTTTATGAATATATTTTCTTATCGTGTGTATGATAACAATGTTTGTGATCAAGAGACGAGAGAGAATTGCGTCATTAATTCTCTATATTTAAAATTATTTTTATATAAAATTCTGAACAATCAGGTGATACGAAAAAATGTATAAAATAAATATTAATAAAATAGTAATTGTACTTTCAGATTATCAATATTATTTAGTTTTGTTTTAAGTGAGTGTGTGTAATTATTGTTCTTTTACCTTTGTTGTTTTAATTATTTTTTTCATTACAATCAATTGTTTTTGTTTTGTAGTCATTGTAAATATTGACTACTTGTGTAGGTTTTATCTGTGTGTAAAAACTATGCGTGGACTACAACTTTCACAATACAGTTTATATTAAAAGTAACATCCTGCCTTCGGGAAAATCCCTCCATGATAATAAGCAAAACACTTCATTATCTTCTCGACAGAAATATATATTCGATTAAGCATTATGTTTACAGTAATAAGGCGGGTACCAGTCCGACAAGCGAATTCGAAGAGTCGCTGCATGCGATGTCCGATATTTATGGGCAAACGCCACCACGAACTCGTCTCAGTCGTAAGAAAAGACACATGAAGCAAAAGTACTCAGGCAGGTACGTGATCAATCAAAATTGCAAATTAGATTTGTGTGAATAATTAAAAAAATATGTAATTTATATTTATTTCAAACAACTTGATAAAACTGTCAAATAGAAAAATTGTACTTTTCTCGCAGTGTGTTGAACAAGTTATAATTTAATAAATTATTGTAATATACAATAAAAGTCAAAATTTATATACATATTTGTATACACACTTTGTGTTTTATGATAAAGTTAAATAAACAAAAAATAATGTTAAGTAAGAAACATATAAGAGATAGAATTAGATAGATGTGTAAGAGTCATGTGTTTTTTCCTGTAAATCTTTTCATTTCTGAAAGTATTTCTCACAATATCAATTGACACTTTGCTAATTTAATTGTCATTCGAATGACTACAAAAGCATATAAACTATCTTTAGCTTTTTGTCATTTCTAGCGATCTGAAATCTACAGAAAAAGAAACTCGACCAAGGACAACTATCCGTAGACGCAACACCCTGGATACCATTATTTTCAACGAAATGTGCGACAAGGCAGACAAAGATCGCGAAAACGAGACCAAAGAAGACACGAAGGACGGCAGCAGGAAATGCAAGAGAATTTTGAAATTATTGCGCGGCAACGAAAGAGATTTGAAGCTTGACATGGAAGCAGCTTACAATTATGCCGAGAAACACAGCGGCGATATGGCATTGACGACACCAAATCAAATCAAGGTTTTTTGAGAAAATAAAAGAATTGATTTTGAATATTAGCTATGAGTAAAAACTATATATTCGTGTAATTTGTACAAGTAATCAATTGATCATCACGATTTTTAAACGTAGCCATGTTCATTCATTTGCAAACATTTATTCTTTTATTATGTGTATTTGGCACGTGTTCAAGCAATGTGCGCTTTTCTTCCTTGTAGATTGAGACTAGAAATAGATTTCGCTGCTTGCGTTCCAAGCCTGTTGGTGTGGAAGAGAAAAAGGCGGAACGAGAAGTTATCGAATACAGTAACGTAACGATAAATGAACAGAATCTGTGTTCACAATCGCCGCGGACACAGAGCTACAAAGAGAGAGAAATATTCCACGACACGTTCTCTTTCCTAATTAGATTGGTAAATATATTTCAGAAATTTAAAATATACACGTAAAAAAAAATTATATCTTTATATTTGTGTGAATGTGTATCAGAAAAATTATTTGCCTCTCGAAAGTGTTTTAAATACATAAAAATCATTGCAGGGAAGCACAGAGCGAAACTGTCGTCGACAGATGAGCACCGAGGAAACCAGGTGGCAAAGCGAACTAAAAGATCTGATATGGTTAGAGCTGCAGGCGCATCACGCAGATCGTAGTCCAATGGCGCAAGATGAATATCTGTGTCGTCAACGCGAGGCAGTGGAGGGTTTACTTAAAGAAATAATGAAATACAGGTAAATGAGAACATATTAAACATCTTCAGAATTTCGTAAAAAGGCAAACTAAAATATAAATTTTTTATAAGTACTTAAATGTAAAAAAAAAAGAATAATTTCTGTGTGCTAACAGCGTTAAGCAAGTTGATTCTTAATTAAGTAACATTCCATTAGATACGATCCCATTGCTGACGTGCAAGATGGAAACTCAAGTTGCATCAGCTCCAGCGACGTTGCAAGCGATCGATCCACAAATTCCGGTTCGAGCCCGAACATCGAACTGGGCGTGTGTCCCGGTTGTCTCTCCATGTATTGTCGTGCATGCGCTCGTGCGCAATTGGAAGCTTTGCAACAGGTCGAAAGTCTACTGACTCGCTTGGAAGCCGCCGAGGCTTTGTATCCATCTTCTCAGGCATTCGCCACTAATTATCCGTTGTACAAAAGTGCAAGGTTTACGGATCGAGTGAAGGCCATGTGTCTGTGGTACAACATGACGAAACATCATCGGCTCAAGTTACAAATATTAGGAAGATTGCTAATGATGTTGCACAGTAAAAAAAAGGATGACACTACCGACTCTGGCATCAGGTACGTTCAAATTGCGAACAATCGAGAAAAATTGTTTTAATTTGTATTTATAAAAATTTCCGCTTTGTTGCTGTAAATTGTGAATAATGTTTATCATATTTGTGAAAAGATAAAGATTCAAAAATTTTGTGTGTGAAATATCGAGATTTCGAGTCAGATTGAACTTTGTTTTGTAGTTCGCGATCTTCGGACACTGTTGATTCTACAGAACAACGACACTGTACGGTACGATTTGAAATACCTCATCATCAAGACGAAACTTCCAGTCCCTCTGACAGTAATAATAGCAATAATTCTTCGGTCGGAGGTTTGTCATTTATATCGCAGTCACTGCCACCTACCCCGGAAACCTCATTTTCGTACATTGAAGACGAAAGAGTCGATCGGCTCGACTTCTATTTGGGCGAATTTGAACGACATGCTTACAGGTATGTTTTGATAAATATTGTTATTCATTTTTAACATATGTAAAATTTGAGATTTATCGTATTTTAACATAAAATTCTGATGATAATTGTGAATTATGGTATTTTACACATTTAGGAAATATATCGAAGATGTATTAAAAACAAGAGGTCTCAGAAAAAGCCTCAATTTCCTTGATCGACTGCATACATCTATTTTGAGAAAAGCAAGATTAACGTTGGAGAAACATGACGATGAGAAATCTATTGACACGATGAATGAAGAATACGAAGGTGATAAAGAGTTACGACGATATGGTGTTTGGAGTCCTGAGTCGAGGGAATTGAACTTACCATCATACAGGTGTCTAAAGCTCATTTGTTTAAAAAAAAAAAAACGTTTTTAACTTGATTAAAAAAATTTTAGTTTTTTTTTATCGTATGAGAACGAAGTCAGATTAAAGTCAAGTCAATCAAATAAAACAACTGAAGTAACAGAGATATGTAAATATGTATTTATTTACCATTTACATAATTTTACTTTTAGTTTTACACTTTTGAAAATATTGCTAGAAGAAAAACTGCATGAAGAATTTTTAAGTGATGCACTTTTCTTGTAGGAAAAAACACAGTTTTTTAAACACAGTTTGAACCGAACTCGGACGTCGTTTGCGTAGACAATATTTTTTATCCGAATCTGACTCGGATGCAGAGTGGAAAGTTAAATTGTATGTTATACATTATCTGTGAGATAAACGGCCTTATTTGATAGTGACGTTTTTTTTTTCAGAGCGGCTTTCGTGTTTCTCTCGCACGTGCCTCTGGACGTGGTTCACGAGTTTTTGAGGATGAGATTGGAACAAAAGCCGGAGCAGCCGAGCCCGTTGTCGGTTCGGCAACTCATGCGGGAACTGCGCGAGGGCCTTAGAATTGCCTGTATTCATCGCGATAGATTTGCCGCACATTCTCGTGCTGCCGTTGCCAGTGACGAGGCTGGCTGCGAGATTCTGTTAGACGAGAATGTTAAATATTTCGACGAAAGTCTAAGGGCCGTATTCGAAGTGTATTTAGATTATCTTCAGCAGTGGGTGGATATGGTGCAACACGACAGTTTTCATAAGAATCTGATCATGGATGAGTGGTTATTTGTGAAATCCATCGCTGGAAACATAAGCGACGGATATAAGATTGCTGGTGTGAAATTCTGGTGAGTAACTTTAGATTCGAAAATCGAATTGAAAATCTTAAAAATACGACTTCAAGATAATAAAATAGCTATTAAAATTCTAATAATGTAATTAAAAGTAAACATTGTTTACAGTGAGATTGCACAGACAATGATTAAACAAGTCAATGAATTTCTTGTTGAACGACCTCGCGAGATTCGAGAGAACGCGGAGGAGAAAGAAGACGACGATTTATCATGCAAGTAAGAAAAAAATGTAAAATCCATTTATTTTTCCGGTACATTACGACTATTTGTTTTATTAGCGAAACACTGCTCAGACTGCGTCTGTTTGTGGGACGAGAGTGGCAGGGAATGTTCGTGGACGCCCGAGAGAAAATCGTGAAGAGTCTGAACCTTGCCAAATGTTTGAAACTTGACATCGAAAAATGGCCAGTCAGTAAACAAGAAATGGAAAACACGTTCAAGTCGTTGAAGGTAAGAAACACTATAAACAACTACTTCGGCAAAAATATAATATGATGATTTTTTTCTCGTTCAGGATGTTGTCTTAGATTTGAGACACCGCATAACAGTAGTGATCGAGGATTTCCAAAGCGAAGCTGACGAAGTGGAGCGATTGACCAATGAAAACGATCAGATGCCGTTACGATCGAGGATCCGCGAAATTCTCCATCAAGCTTACAGAACAGGCTTCGATTTTCACAAAGAGACGTGCAAGTTGTTCTCGCTTGAAGAAAAGGCTATTCTTGCACGAGGTCTGGTGTCATTCGCATTATTATGGATGGAATTTGTGAGAACTCGGTGCGAACGTGGTCGTGGTCTGAGACCCAGATGGGCAAATCAAGGTCTGGAGTTCCTGATAACGGTGTGCGAACCACACAACACGAAACATCTCACTGATCAAGAGTTCGAAGAGTTGAAGACGTGTATGGATCGTTGTATATCTCACGTAGTGGGAACTGTGTCGAACGCGGGATCAATGCCGGAAGCAGAAGGTAATCTATGACTTTGCTTATCATACGCAATTTTGTTTTAATCGGTAAGTTCGAGAGAGTAAATAATGAAAAGCAATTTTGAGACAGTTCGTCGTACATGTAGAGAAAATGAAAAACGTAACTAAAGTCACGTGACAGGAAAGAGTAGAAAAACAACACGTGAAAATAACTTGACTGTAATTTATATTATATATAACATTAAATAATACATATTATACATATAATTTATTATATATTTATAATATTATACTTTATATTGTATTATATGTATTATATACATACTACAGTAATGTCACTGACCTCGGCCGCGCGGCCTTGGCGGGGTCACTGACCTCGGCCGCGCGGCCTTGAGGGGGCACTGACCTCGGCCGCGCGGCCTTGGTGGGGGGGGGGCGAGTCACTGACCTCGGCCGCGCGGCCTTGAGAGGGCACTGACCTCGGCCGCGCGGCCTTGGTGGGGGGAGGGGTCAATGACCTCGGTCGCGCGACTGCGGTGGAGTCACTGACCTCGGCCGCGCGACCGCGGCGGTGTTACTGACTTCGGTCACGTGATTACGATATATATATACATATATGCATATGTGTGTGTATTATATATAGATATAGAATATTACATATAATATATATAATATTCTCTTTTTTACCCTTTTCCCTATCACGCGACTTTAGTCGCGTGTTGTTTTTCCACTTCTCTCTCTCACTATTTTTTGAGTCTGATTTTCATGCGTTATTTCTGACATTTCTCATATGTGTATTATATGGTTTATAAGACGTATATACTATCTGTCATCGCGGTGACAGGTTGTGTTCACTGACAACACGTTAAATAAAAATAATAAATAATAATATATATAATAAATAATATACAATAGCGTGCGCGTAGCGCGCGCCTGTATTGTGCTAGTATTTAATAAAAAGCTATAAATCTTAGGTTTATTTCTGTTAAAATACATACAAGTCAAGTTTGTCAAGTTTTATACTTGACGAATATCTGTTTTGTCATCTGCATTTTATGAAAAAATTTTTAAAATATGTTTTATGAATAAGAAGTTGTTCGTATATAAAATTGAATTCTACCTACGATCTTTAGCAACGTTTATCTTCAGGCTTAAGAAGACTATCGCGATCAAGAGCTTCATCACCGAGTCACGGTCGCACTAGAACCGCTAGTTTTAGCCTTTCGCAAAAACCACGAGACGCTTTGAAATCGCCTGAATTACTGGTTACGACAAAAAAGAGCAGTTCACCGAGCATAGTCGACGGAAATCTTGCGGTGATAATAAGTCCTCCTGAGCGGCGAATGCAGAGACATGAGAGAGTCGTTCGTGCCATTAGAAAAATGGAGAACGAGCTCGACGAGAGATTGCGAAATCGAGAACTTATCGGTCAAGTCATCGACAGAAAGGCAGTAGATAGGGTTCACATTAAAGCGAGACGAGTTACGTTTACGTGGCAGCGGGGTATTAAAATAGGTATGTTTTACATTAAGTATGTTTTGTCTACCGTGCGTGTACTTTAGTTTGCTAAATACATATGGTATCCAGGCCAGGGAAGATTCGGTAAAGTGTACACTGTAGTAAATAACCAAACTGGTGAACTATTAGCGATGAAAGAAGTACAACTGCAACCCGGCGATCACCGAGCGATTAGACGCGTCGCCGAAGAATTACAGATATTCGAAGGAATTCAACATCGACACTTAGTGCGATATTACGGACTGGAAATTCACCGTGTATGACAAATATAACATACTTAGTGTTATTAATTATTGATATAGCAATTATGAATATACTGTATTATGATAAATTTTGTTTCCAGGAGGAAATGCTCATCTTCATGGAATTTTGCGCCGAGGGAACTTTAGAGAGCTTGGTAGCAGGTAGTGGCAATGGCTTGCCGGAATCTTTGGTCAGAAAATATACTCACCAATTGCTTTCGGCTGTCGCAGCACTCCATTCTCACGGAATAGTTCATCGAGATATTAAAAGTAATTATATCTAAATAAACTTTTGTAAAATAAGATCATCCACGATATTAATGTTTCGTTTTCTTTCACAGCCGCAAATATTTTTTTAACAGACGAAGGTAATTGTCTGAAACTCGGCGATTTTGGCAGCGCGGTACAAATTAAAGCGCATACAACAATGCCGGGAGAGCTTCAGGGTTTTGTTGGTACTCAAGGTTAGTATTTGAAAAAAAAAGTTTTAAATTTACGGGAGACAATTTGTTCATAAAGTAATTTCGCAAGATACAACAAATATTCAAAAGATATAAGTTAGAGATTACTTTGATTCGATTTAGATTTATGTCAATACATATACAGTTTATTGGGTTTTTTTTTTAATTTTTAAAGCCTATATGGCACCGGAAGTATTTATGAAGTCTGAAAGCAGTGGACATGGTAGAGCTGTAGATATTTGGTCGCTGGGCTGCTGTATCATCGAGATGGCGAGCGGACGGCGACCCTGGTCAGATTATGATTCGAATTACCAAATTATGTTCAAGGTATATGTAATTACAGTTAAATGTTTTATTGTAATATAAAGTAAAAAACAATGTAAGCATAATAATTTTAGTAGTTTTAAAAAATGATTAAAATTTTATCCAAGGTTGGAATGGGTGAGACACCAGCACTTCCAAAGAATCTTTCTGCAGAAGGCATAGATCTCGTTAAAAAATGTCTGCAACACGATCCAAAGAAACGATGCACCGCGAACACTCTTCTCGCGCATTCTTTTGCAAGAGGAGAGTACGAAGAATACGTAAATGCGGACTTAATGTCGCGATAATTTAGAGTTATCAAAAAAATGTAAGTTATTTGCAAACTTAATAGTTTTTAAATGATATTTTTTTGACAGAAAATTATAAATACTAGGGATTTGTTTTACTGGTAAAACAGATGCAAACGTGTTCGTTGCATTTAATCTGAGAACTTAACTAGCATAGCTTTAGAACCAGTATTCATAGTCGAATCTTTTATTTATGATCTTAAGTATAAGACTCAACTATGAATACCGGCCTATCTCTCCGACTTAATTGGATTAACTTAACTGGTAGCGTGTCTTAGAGTTTGTTTTAATGAAAGTGATATCGTGAAAGATACGTAGTATTTGTGTATAAACCAGAGTTGGCCAAAACGTTGGACAAGGAGGCTCATGTCTGATATAGATTGTATAGAGAAACATTGAAAATGTTGAAACTTTTAATTGACGAAAACATGAATTGATACTTATACCGTACTTATGATCATTATTTCTGATATAATTGTATATAAATGAACGAAGCTTTCGTTTTCTCATAATTGTAGTGATGAAACTAACAGTGACTAGTGACAGAATATTTAGTACTGAAAACAAGTGAAAAAAACGTTAAAACTTCGTATTTGTTTTAAAAAAAGTGCACTTTTGATAATTCGGCTCTTCCTTTCAAGGTCTTTTAAAAGTTCTTTGATAATTTGGCCTAAAACTGGAAAGATTTGAAGATAAATTTAGTGATACATAATTAGCATGATTATTTTAGATTAGTTAGTTATCATAGTTACTTACACGTATATACGTAGAACATCATAGATGACGAATGTATATACCTATAATATGCGACAGTACAAGATCGACCGAACACGATGGCATACATTCATAAGAGAAATACACAGTTTACGCAAGGTACATAGGAGAATGTGATAAAACAATATGTATCTATGTTTTCGGTTTTAATTATAGATAAAGCATAATTTGTTTTATATAATGCTTGCATTTATCGTTTATATATATATAAAAAAAAATAATATATTTTTTGTAAATCTATGACTGAACAGTAAAATGTAAGAACCATCACATTCCGAAAGTGAGTAGCTTGATTCACAAATGGTGCAAAAATTTTCAAATTTACTTACAAATTGTTTTAGTATTCTGAACTTAGTATTATAGGAATGTAAGTCTCACAATTATAGTTTAATCCGATGTTCATTGAAAGAAAAAGTTTGACGTTGAAAATGTCGGCGGATTGCCGGCAGAAGTGAATATAGACACGATGTTGTAAGAGTCTAGTCTTTCGTTTTCGAAATTTGTAAAACTTGACTCGTGCAGTCACTTGTGAATCAAGCAGATAGCTCGTTTCAGCACGGAATGCGGCTATTCGATGCTCATATCACATCGAAAGCCATATTTTATTTTCATATTTAATGTACAAGAATCAGATTAGGTCTTCACGTTTAGTTCTAGTTAGTGACCTGAACAAATTGTAATTATTGTTAAAGTATCTTTAAGGTACAATAATGGTAGCTTTGAACGTGTATGTGTTATATATATATATATATATCTGTGTTATATATCCTAAGTGCTTCGTAGACGAAGCGAATGATTTGTTACGATTGTGGAATATAGATATTCTATTTTAAGTAAAATGAATAAATACAACAAAAACAACTGGTATCCCGCTGGAATTTATTTCTGCACGAGGAAATGTACACACGTGATACAACATACTTTGGTGTGGATCAATTACTTAGCAGAGGTATGCTGTGTATGTGCTTTCCGCGCGAACGGACAGCTCAGTGTATTTATTCGATTACCTATCGAAAGTTTTATATACGCACAGAAGTAAGTAACTTATGCCACAAAAAGATTTCAAGTTGTTTTGTGTATAAGAATTAAAAATAGTCACATACAGCCTAATAGTTAATTTTCAAACAATATGTTGTAACTGCAATTGTGTGTTCGGTTATATAATAAACTATTAGGTGGTGCATGAATTCACACTACATGGCATTAAAATATACATTTAGAAATTATAGTTTCCCATAGCATTTCAGTGTTTAATTAAATCGATTTCTGTCCGATTCATGTACGAAAAAAAGAGAATTAGCATAAAAAAATTTTATTATATGAGAGAAATTTGAAAATATAAGTCAAGTCTTTAGAAATTGACTTCAAAAGCAGTTGTATTATCTATATGATCGACCATTATTGTTTTCATGTGCTCTTATAATGTTTTTTCAAGTAGTATTTATAATCTAACGGGATTCAAGCATTCTGAACTTGAAGAACTGAAGAGAACTTATAATAATGCACATAACACATTATCTATTGACGATATTTTCAAGGAACATTTTAACAACGATGAAAGCGACCTTCGCAGACAACAATTACGAATCGCGTGTGTGAGAACCGCAACGCTTTTAAGACAATTTTATAATTTATTCTTATTAGAAATATTTTGTGATAAAATTAAATGAAAAATATACGACTTTATTTTGCACAATCCTCATAGTTCCGTTTAAGATAAATCTTACATCTATCAACAGTATATTATAATATGTTATTTTTACTATTTGTATGTATATTTTAATTTATATACTTTCACTCTTATCACGCTTTGTCACTATCAACAGTCTTAAAAACACATAGTTAAATGCCTCTAATATATCTCTCAACGTGATATTTATATGTAATAATAGTTTTTACATAATTCAACTTCACATAGACATCAATTGTTCAGACGTTTTCGGAGCTATGAGGGTTTGACAATTGTTTATCCAATAATTAATGCGAAAAATTAGCAGAAGAACCGTTTATCATCGCGGTTCACACAACACAATCGAGATTATCGCGCGTGAACAAGGAATATTATATATAATTTAACGCGTCTATGTATTTTTCTATCTACTATCTAGAGCTTTCTCGCGAGTTGCATTTCGTTAATTAATTAATTACATTCGATTCCTATCGAAGCATTTCCTATTATCGATTTATCAGGATATGTTTTATCCCAGAATAAGATCGTCGCTACGGTGGCTTTCGCCTGATATGTGTATGAGATTCTTGGCCGCAAACTTGCGATCACAAAATGGTTTCGCGATATGTGAAGTCCGCATCGGACTACGGATTGAGTTGGAATTTGATCAATCAGAACAAAAGAAGCCAATTTTTTCTAAAGTTGATCGAACTTTGTTCCGATCAGTTCCAAATTTTAATATAATCTCGATCCGTAATTCGATACAGACTTAAGTATAATTCTTTTATAAGTACATATATATATAATTTTTTTCTCTGGCCTTACAAACTAGTGATAATAGTATATTTATATATATCTTTCTTAGATCTAGTACAGAACACACTTGCATGTACCTATTGTACATGCGCAGGATGCAGCAATGTTTTGGGTCGAAAGTGAGAGAAACAACGCAATAAACGCGTCTCAACTAAACATAAAAATAATTTTCCATATCTATGCAATTCGATCGAAAAATTACATTCACTGATGTACAATGTGTGTCGTATCCTGCGTACGTGAAAACATAAATGCATTTTCTCGAATGCGTAAGTAATCGTAGTACAATCGTATGCACATATATATATATAGTGTTTGTTCACTTTTTCTAACAATAACGTAGAGACACCGTGCTCTCTCGTACTTTAACTTTCGTAAAATTTAAACGCGTAACTCTAGGAACATTCAACGAAGCGATCGAGCAAACGGTACAATGCGATGGATAAAGCTGACAAGAAGCGGAACGAAGTTTCAAGAAGGAAGAACTAACAAATTTGTCACATGGAATTGCGCTTCTTCGATTAAAAAGTTCTACTTAAATTATTAGATATAACAGTTTGATATGAAAAAATCACGTTCTTCAAGAAATCGAACGTAATTTTAACGCAACGATAAGATGTAACGCAAGTTCGCGTACACGATTTCGTAAAATTTGGATAAAATCAACAAATCTACAGCAGCCACAATTGCGTGAAACTACTCTATAACAAGTAATAACTAGTACGAGAAATCAAGACGCGCGAACACGAATACTGAGCGCCGAAAATTATATACATATGAAGATCGCGAAGCCGATGAAATGCGGGTTCACCTCTACTATTTAACGTGATAACGATTCGAATGCATTACTGTTCAGTGAAGTGGGAACATCCGTAAGTGAGTCAGTGACAATGACTCTTTACGCGTGTAATTGGCATCTGATATGTGTTATATAGATATGTATATATATATATATATTATTTAGATATGTAACAGATGAAAAAACAACTCTTTCCACTTGATTGAACAGTGTTGTAAGTAAAAAGGCAGATCTAACGTACGAGCGCAACAATGTCGGCATAAAAATTACGGCAAGCCTAAATAAACTTGTCTAAATTGCAGGGTTGAGAGAATCTATCTATCAGTTTCATTTGTGAAAATTACACGTGCCAGAATTTGAGACTCATTTTTGATAATCTCAGCAAAAACAATTTCACATATTCACTTACGCATATACATGTTACTATAGTTTTGTGTATCAAATAACAATTAGAATTAAGTTCGATTATCGTTGTATCATCAGTCTCAACTTCTGGCGCGGATGATCAACTACGATAAGTCGTATTAGGAAATAGAAGAATAGCGCGCGATAGAGCGACAGATATGAGCTACATCGACAATCGACCGACTCTCGAGCGGTGCGATCTCGCCGATCTACCTAAGAATTGGACAAGAGTTTACTGTGCGGGCGCCAACATACGTATACGATTGGCCACGTGTAGAGTAATCCTGCGATTAGACGAGTCTCGCGCGCTGGAAAAATCATTTCGTAATCAACGTACTGTAAATAATTATTTCACAAATATTATCAATAAATTAAATATAATTGCAGAAGAAAAAACAGAAGTCTAAAAGAAAGACAGTCAACGGCCAATCAACATTTGTGACGAAAATAGTTCTTCTAAATCTTAGAATATTCTTTCGGTAAAAAAAAAAATAAAAACAAACACCAAAAAATACTAATCTTTCGTCTCAGCGAATGATGAAGAGAAATGCAATGTCAAAAATTGTCAGGCAATTTTTCCAGCGCTCGGACGTAACACTCGAAGAAACTTTGACTCTTTCAAAAATGGACTAGAGTTTTAAAACGACCGATCGATCTACAACTCGCTTACTGTACGACGACGTCAGGCTACCGCTGAAGGAGTTTCAGTTCGCGAGATTTGGTGAACGCGCGCGCGCTTTGTGTTACGTTTTTGTACGTGTATACTTTTCTATAGAAAACAGACAACAACATTTCTAACATTAGCTCGTGTAACGAAGAACACGTTATAAGTATTACTTTCAGCTTTAGATGAGTTTTGCGCGCTTCGGCGACGCTTCTTTACGCTACTTTCTCTTCTCTATGTATATGTATATATTTACTCCCTACAAATGATATGTCAAATCCACAACGATACATATCAAACGAATTGATACAATGACTTGTGCGAGAGTAAAGTTGCTAAATCCTTCTGCGCTACGTAGTCTACTCTTTCGTATTTCTTAAATTCTACACAGGTAGTTTTTGGCTTTCAAGCAAGGGTGCTTCGAAAGTCGCGCTCTTCGTTCAACAAACAAACAGTTATAAACAATTTATAAACCGAACATATATTTATCTTAAACCAGTCTCTGTACATGTCAACATGTTTGTTTTCATCTTTGAGAATGACAAATAAAACGAAAACCGTTCTTAACACGCGGAACGTTTTACGTTCGTCGTAAGTGAAACGTTCGATAGCAATACGTCGACAGAGGCCAAGAACAGAGAAAATTGTTTCGGTATTGCTTAGCGTACGTTATTATGTGTAACGGGGTCCCCGATTAAAATTTTCGAATCACCCTTTTTTTTACACAGCACTGTCGAAACCGACAGAAGAGGCTGCGTTGCGTTTGCAATTCTACATTTATTTAATTAAACATTCTCAATCGCGCGTCTATCACTTCTTCGAATTCTTGATCATCGCCTCCATGTCCCGCAGGCTCTGCTCCAACGTTTGCGCGAATTGCATCGCGCTGGTCCTCCCGTCGCTGTGAAAAGCGGAAACCGAAAAGATGAAGCCGTTTTTCCGTACGTTGTACGCGCATCCGTAACCGTCCGGCACCACCGGACCGTATCCGGCGATCACATCGTTCTTCGTGGTCACCTGCAATATCGATCTCGCGTTTATTTTAGAATGAGATGCGACGTTAGTGACATCAGCATATACGTATGTTTTGTATTTTTTATCGCTAATTTGAATATGGCAAGCGACTAAAAAAGATATGTTTGTTTTTTTTAGATGTGAATTAACGAGTCAAAGAAAATTAGTATGAGTTCTAAAAAAGTGTTCTAACTAGTCATTTAATGTTGCAATCGCACGGCATGATTGGCATGAAATTCTGTGAATACATATCTCCATCCTTGTATTAATTAAAACTGCGTACGTCTTGAAGATGTGCAATCTTCTCGGTGTTACGCAATTTCTCTTAAACAAATTGATCACACGTCGACCTCGGCTGTCCGAGTTATTAAATAAAACTTTTATAAAAGATGCTTGCAACACGTCCGGGATCTCGACTTACATTTCGTCGTGATAGACCACTTTAAATAACGGTCTTTATAGCGCGCACTGGCGTAGCGAGAGGAAGGAAAAAAGAAATTGACCAGATTATCACAGATTATTTTTTTTCTTTCTTTCACTAATGTCTTTCTGTTGTTTTTTTTCCAGACACAGGTACTTTGATTTAAAAAATCGTGTTTCGAGATATAAGCAATGTATCGAGATAAAATGATGTGTCGCGTGAAAGGAACAACGAATTTTGTGACGTCGACGCTAATGATCGATCGTAATCCATAAATCGAATCGATGCGTGGAAGGACGATCGGCCCTGATCACTGACCTGTGACGTCGACAGGGCGAAGTGATTAACGATCGCGTAAGCCTCGTCCGTGAAGATCTCCGGGATCGATTCGCCGGCCTCCTTCGCCACATAACGCAGCCCCATCAGATGGTTGTCAATACCTTGGCCGTAAATGTTGTCGTTCATCTCCTTGGTCTGTCTTTGCACCGCCAGATCAAACAGCTCCTTGATCCTCTCCGCCTGGAGACGCGAGCCGGAAGAGCAACGTTCAAGTGAGTTCAAAGCGAATTGATCTTTTAATGAAAAGATTCTCGCGGTACACATATATAATTATAGAACGACAACTATGTTTCTTGTGCACTTATCAAAATAGTTGTTTTGGTAGATTCTGTGCTTTTGTGATGGTCTGTGTAATGTTTGCAACATTACATAGTGAAAAGCAAACATCAAGCGTAAAGTACAGTAATAAGATTATATAAGCACAGTTTTTATAAATAAATAAATTTAAAAAAATAAGTCTGGTATTAAAAAAAAATATATTATAGATTATATAATAGATTGTATAATTTATATAATGTATATTTATTATTTATATAAATCTATATACTAAAAAAAAACATACATTATGTAAACTAAACAGATATTAAATAAAAGTCAAAAATATTATTTTCACAATAAATACATAGACTCTTGCACGCTAAAAAACGTAGAAAACGAGTAACAGAAAAGAGAGCGGCTGAGACAATATATCGTTAAAAGAAACAACACAGTGCGTGTGCGGTAAATGAGAAATAACAACTCGTTGCCGTAGTATTTCTCGAAGAAGGATGAGCTATGGTTAAGGGAAACAAACGAAATATCCCCATCTTTCCCGCGGTCTCTCGAGAATCGCACAAACACTCCATCGTGAAAGAAGAACGAATCGAACGACCGTTCTAATTGATTATGTTTTCTTAGAAATGTTTTTTTGTTTTTTCTCTTGTTTTTGCATTTTACACGTTATCTAATTTCTTCAGAAACTTGTACGTCTTAATTGGCAAGCACGACTTACTTTTTTTTGTCCGCTTCAACACTTTTTTTTATATTAAGAGTTTTTTTATATAAAAACGTAAACTTAAAAATTATTTAATTATTGAACATTATTTATTATTTTTCATTTTCGAGCATGACGATTAATGAGTGAAGAATCACATACGATAGCATGATGTTCTAGTATAAAAAAAATACGAAGCGTGTCTACACACTAACACTTTCATGCATTTTGATATGTAACTAACAGTGTGTAAAAGTATATATATATGTGGCAGTATACAAAGTCAATTGATTATAAAAATGTAAACATAGAAATATTAGACGATTATTATATATCAGACAAAAAATATATTGTATAATGGAAACAATTATGTAATCTAAATGAAGATAACACGTAAAAAACTTTACGACAACAGACACGTCCGATAAACATAAAAAAAATTGTATATATATCAAAACCTTTCCGTAAGTAGATGCAATTGGTAATGCAAATGGACAATGCGACCAACCACTCAGAAATTTTTCGTAGCACTGCAAAAAATGTGTGCATAAATAAAATATTTCTGAAACACGCATAATTTTTGCTGTTCGTGAGAAATTTTCCGGAAAATTTGCTGTTACGAAAGTTTCGTTACGTCGCATAAATAATCCCGCGACCAACTCGTCGGCAAACTTGGCGCAAATTGTTACTTAAAATATTAATTGCACACACAAAAAACTCATATACAAAAATAAAACTCATTTATTTTACAAAACCCAGTGACAGAGAGAGCTTAAAGAATAAAAGGCGGCAATAGAAGTAGAAAGTAAAATAAATAAACGCATTCCGCTCGACCTTGTTGCATTTCTGTCGAGTGTACTCGAGCTGTGTGTGTAACACGACACGAGAATCGCATAGGAAAAATGCCAAGTTTCAGTTACACTGTAAATGGTGAACTGAACTCTTTTGGGGCTGCCTTCCACGTTGGCGTTGCTTGGTTGACTCGTCTGGCCGTAGGGATCGCCCTGGCACATCGCCTTCGCCCAAGCCAGCGCTTCCGGACTGGCGGCTCGGATACAGTCTACGCGGGCTAACGCAAATCTCCGGATTCCAGCGCTTTCGTAAGTGGCCACCAACTTGCCGTGAAGTCTGCGGGAAATAAGAAGTCGTGCCAATGAACCGACGACGCGAACGCGATCAGCTTCTTTACTTTCATTACCTGAAGTGCGTGAGCTGGAGCGCCAATTGTATATAGGCGTCCGGACTAACTTTACAAGACTTTATGAAATCCTTGGAATAATCCTCGAAGTATAATATACAAAGATCTAAATCCTCGATCAGTCTGAAACGTGAAAACATCTCTTCCGATTGTGGGCAAATTTATACAAGATAAATTCTCGCAAAAAATTACGTCTACGAAAAAATCAGATTCATACGATTGTTGGTTTTTTACTCACGCGTCGAAATTCGTCATGGCTTCTCTGATATCGTTCAGACTTTGTTCGGTTAGACACCACTCCAGTTTTTCAGGCGCTGGAAGATGCGAGGGTACCACATTCTCGTCCGGCGATGGCATCGCGTCAACCTTCTCCGTTATCTCCTCGAAAACTTTAAAGATAGCCGGCGCCTCGCCGGCAGAATGCTCGTAAGTCAGTCCCCACATTCCGTCCTTTGTTAATAAGAACGCAATAAAAACATTTGTGCATATATAAAGAAAACACAAATTTGTGTAAAAATCGATCTTACATTAGAGAATGAAGTAGCTGAAATGTATCTAATGAAAGTACACAGATGAGAGAAGAAACCAGACGATTTATGTATATAAAGGACTATTTTGGTCGATTATATATACGTATGAGAAAAGAGTCAAACGTATTTTGTCGCGCGGAATATGAAAGTGACGGGTGTCGCAACGCGTCGTAGATTCACAAACGAGACGACGATTTCGCCCGTGAACTTTGACACCAATCAAATCGAAGAGTAGTCTTGGGAGCCGGTGAAAGTGATAAGTCTAATTTGGCTCGAGCGCATCCGTGGAAAACATCCGCCGCGGACTGTTACGTTGTTCGATTGGCGGTTTGCTTTGGAAATTGCGCATGGCGCTATTACGCGAGCCACGCGCGGCTGTATTATTTCTCATGTTGCGCATTTCTAATTTCTATATATCGGTTTGGGCAGCTGATTGAACATTGTGTGGTAATGCAACGGTAATAATCGTGAGCTCGACTTTCCTACGCGGTTAATACGCTTATACGATTTCTGTCTAACGTGTGTGAATTAATTAATTTTGCAGGCGTTGATTGACGACATTCGTTGTCGGTGGCATACCTTGCCAAGAATAGCGTGGACGGTCTTGTCGAACCAACGATTCGCGCCTAAGTGTCGGGACCCGCCGCCGTGAAGAGCATGATGAAGCACGTTCGCGTAATCTCGATCACCGATCCAGCGGTCCTCCTTCTTCATGGGATTATTAAACGTCGTCGGCAGCACGTCGTCGTCGATGCAAACGACGCACAGGCAACGCTCCAACAATTCGAGATTGTGACGATTGCGCTCGTCTAAAAGTCGTTTGCACAGATCTCGTTAATTTCGATAATGATCATCTTGTAGTGTCATTCAGAAACGGCTGAAGTAACTTGTTTTATTTTTTTTTCAAAATGGAAGAGAGAGAGAGAGAGAGAGAGCAAACAAATTATAAAGTTGCATATATCGTAACGTTAATTAGTTTTGCATTTCATTGTACGAAACGCAATTCTACAAATTATTCTAAAAAAAGTCGAATAGTTTTTTCACGAATGTGTTGCGATATCTGTTATTTTTTTCTCTCTCACGAGACTTCTCTGCTGTTAATTAATCACCGCTAACGCAGTTCGCTGTTAACTCGTTACTCGTCGACTCTTCATTCGATTTGCAGGCGTAGGTAGGTCGTAGGTTTCCGTTGAGCTAGGTCGGGTTAGGGAGTTAATAGGAATATTGCGAATATTGGCGAAGCGGAGAACGCGCGAGCGGATAATTATGGCTAGGGTAGCGTGCGGCGACGAGGGTTCGAAGACCGAGAGGGCTATTTTTTTGGTAAATAAATCGTCACACTCCTCTTTAACAGCAAGACAAGCCGTAACTTACACAAAATTTAATAAACTGTTTCCACTACACACGCGCAGATAAAAAAACAAAACGAAACGTTTTTATATTCAATATATATATTTCATACGCCGAATAGTTTTTGAAGAAAATCGATATACGAGTAACTAAATAATTTTATTAGAAACCAATATTTTTGAATAAAACTAAAATGGCATACGCACTCTTTATCAATTCCTCTCGTGCTTTCGCCCAGGCTGGTCGCTTCGCGCTCGTTAGAATTCCTACTGGTGGGGTCCTGGGATCGGCTTTGGTCTCCATGATCCTTAACAACTGCTGAGCCAATTCGGCTTCCGTGATCCGACCTCGGTCCGATGCTCTCACAGGTACGCTGTAAAACTGTAAAATCGATGACGGTCACGATAACGCATTAGTGCGCGTCGAAATAATTTATCGTTCGCACTGTAATAGCAATTAAACGAACAATGAGATATTCATTGTAATTAATTCGTCATTATATCGCTGTTTGATTCCGAATCGCATCGTTATACCTGATTGTGATGCGCGACTATAATGTGATCGCCGGAGGACGCTCTGTCCAGGATAATTTGTTCGTCAACGTTCGCACCTGGTCGTCGATAAATGCGGAACATCTGGTAATGCTGCGCCATGCAGAGCGGTTGCATACTCTTGCCGTCCCTGGATTTCACGCGTTCGACTTCCAGTCCGGAGCTATTCAAAATTCGAAGCTTATACTTCTGTGCGTATTATGTAAATCTTTTCTTTTTACTTTATTTGCACTTTTAGTGGAGATCTCGTTAAGAAAAACAATATATATTTGTATTGAAATTTAGTTTAACATTATTTTATTTTTCGGGTACCAGAAATGAGTTTCTCGAAGAACGAATTATTTTCTGTTATAAAACGTTTGCGCATGCATGTCTTTTTTTTTTTAGGGAAACGCAGGACGAGATGAGATATGCTCGCTGTTACAAAAAAAAGCAACCCCGACTTCCCACAAATTTACGTTAGTTTTTTAGAAAGAAAGAAGCACTCTCTTTAAGCGCGCGGAGTACCCGGCTTATTCGCGTATTTCCGGATGCAGGATACCGAGGATCCTTTGAGCCGCGCTCCACGCGCTCAACGGAGAAGCGTCTTGCTTTCATTCTCTCTCACTTTCTCTCTCGCACTTTTCAGGTTCCTACCCTCTTTATGCTCGCTTTCTATGGATCTTACGGCCCGGATTTCCTCGCAGACGTACGCCCTCTCTAAATTGATTTCGGTGCGGCTTCTTTTTGTCCCCGTCGAGACGACGCTAAAGACGAGTCGATTGGCACGCGTCGCGCGTCTCTTAGATTTAAGCGCTTCCTTACGCCGATTATTCTAACTTGTGCGAATTTACGCTCTTCAGTGATCATCCGTCAAAGCGAGAGGAAATTATATAGAAAAATCAGCGCGTTACGTTATCTCACCTATCTAGTAATTCTTGATAATTAAGGAGTTCGGTGAGAAACCGCGCGAGAAATATTGCGGCTTCTTTCTGGTTTACAAATCTCTTCGGTTTTGCGGCCAGTCCGGGATTGCTGTTGATTGGCAGAGCCAGCGGGATCGACAGGTACATGTCGTTTAGCCACCATTCCGTTGCCTGAAAACGTTGCTCAATTAAACATGATCGTTAAATATTTAATTTACTAATTATACAAATATAAACAAGTGTGAATTATGTATTATTAAATTAATAACTCTGTCAGTAATAATCGTTAATTAGAAATTGCAATTAATGGAAAAATATTAATGGAATTAGTAACGTAACTAATTATGATAAAAAATTATATAACTCATTGTGTGCAATGTTGTGCCAGTGAATACAACAAAGTACTAATCGTTACGTCACGTTAATTATCTTAAATTACGTCATATAAAATTACGTGAAAGTTACACACGAAAGTGGTCAGGATTCAAAATGAAATAGTAAAAAGATTTATTTGGAAAGTTACGCAGCGCGATTATCTCCTTGAAATGATTTGCGAGAGACGTGAGGAAGACATTATCATACTTGAAGATGCGTTTAACTTGCGTTTCCGGAAATAAATCACTCTTTGGGAACCGCAATTTAGATAAAGTCAGTAAGTAGGTAGACAAGAAATCTCTTGTAGCAAGAAAACCGCAGATCTTTGAGCGCATATTTTTCATGTGTAAATTACATATACTGCAGTTCTAATTTCAGAGCGGCAAACTAACAGTAAAAATAAAAAACTAAAATTTTGTATGTTACGCTTGAATGACAATTTTTAATTACACGTAATTTGTTGCGTAGTTTAGTGCCGCTTTAATGTGTCGCGACGTCGTATTTCTCATACACGATAATCGGGGATCAGCTTCGGCGCGTCATTAAATGCGGATTAAACAATCGAGTTTTGCTCGTCGCCTCTATTTTCGCGAAAGTATTAAAAGGGAAAAACTCGAGAGGTTACTATTAAAGTCTATATGCATATTCGAAGTTTTTTTTCCAAATTAAAACTTTTTTATTAATGTATATAGTTTCTTGTTCTCGTTTCTAAGTGTTTTGTCGTGTTTTGCAAAGTGCAACGCCTTGAAAAATTTCCAGAACATTGTACTTTTTCTTGAACACACATTTCTTGCTTACTAGTAATATTAACAATCTGCTCGCTGCTTTGCGTATTCGCGTGTGCAGAACTTATATTTCTCCTTGAAAACATTTTTCTTTCAGAACATTGCGTGTGCATAATATCGAAAACGGGTAATCCGAAGTTATTTCACGCTTGTACAAATGAGACAGCAACATTGCATTTTATCATTTATTTGCGTTCCGTGATGTCCGAGACGACTATATTTACTTCTACGGTGTCCTGTTCAACGGTGACATTCAATATCGCAAACTTTCTTACAAAAGAAGAAAAATACACTGGATATGTTGTTGTCAGAGAGAATATCTTTTACGTTACTTTTCTAATACAAAATCCGCGGTAAACATTATTTTCTATTTGCGAGGAAACGCACGTATGTACGTAATTTTATTGCAACCACCTACGGCAACGTTTTTTTTTTTTTTTTTGCGTCGGTTTCTATCTAAATGTAAATCAGAGAAAATATCACAATTTTCACGGAAACAACGCAACTTTGAATTTGTGAAACAAGCAAAACAATCGAGTGCAGTTTTGAAAAGCAAAAATTTAAAAACAATATACTGGAATGAAAATTGTGAAAAAAATAAAGGAACTTTATGCACAAAATCGACTCGAAAGAATTTAAATATCCTGTGTGTGATCGGAACCACTGACTTTAAATCTGATCGTGCATGAAATTGCAATATGTACATATATATATATAATGTACATCGCGTAATCCGTATTATCTTCTAACTTCGTTTTTTCTTCTTGACGCGCGAGTTTTAGGTCAGTGTGACGAGCACGCCAAGTCGAGGCTCGTTGTCGCATACATGTTTTACGAAGTCCATCCCCAACGTCGATACACTGTATCAGAAGGCTGCTTTCGACTTGCCTATAGATAGAACTTACGAGCTCGACTTGTCGCACGTATTCGCGGAATAAAGCGCTATATTTGACTGGAGATGACACCGTTTCGACACAGTCGCGCGGAGATGTGCAAAAGGCTGTTTTTTTTTTAGACAAATCGCCGATACGTAGCTTCGGCTATCACCGACAAATCGCATACGTGCGAAAGATTCTCCGAGTTTTTCTTTCTCGTCGAAATGAGATTTTCTTTAATGAATCCGAGACGTTTCTCTATTCGAGATCTGCGGGCAGATCTAATTTTCCGCGATTAAATTTAGATGAAGGGAGAGAAATATAGAGAACATCGACGAAAATTACGCGATTAAAATTGCAACGAGAGATTGCGAGGATCGCGATTTAAGTGGATATGTGACTACGTACTTCGGAGTTCTCTGGCTCTGGTAATTGAAGGCACGTGAAATGATGTGATGTTTTTACAGAATGCCTTAAACTCTTATTTTCTGTTTATTAGGAAACTGTGTTTCGTGGGGAAATTAATGACTCGCGTAATTGTTGTGACATTTGAGTGTTCGACGAATAGTCACTCCGTCATTAAAGTGAACCGCGTGCGATGAACACTATAGAGAAACCGAATAATGCCGCTCGTCTGCATTATTTAGACATCTCGAAGTCGATACAGTAATTACATATATTATATTCAATAATAAAAACTAAAAACTCTCATGTTTTCTAACTCGATGTTTAATCGAGATTTAAGATTTTATCCGGGTCTTATTTCATTTCGATGTTGAAATTTGCAACTTTTTGATGTGCAAATTACAACTGATGATGATTTTTTGTCAAAGGAATCGTTATATAAGACACACGTATAATCGTTTATTTTGTTTAGAAATAGAATTTTATTATATAATATGTGCATGAGAGTATAATATCGGCTATAAATGTAGTTCTTTAGCTTGGAGGCGCAGTGTGGAATCCGAGTTACGCAAATGCAAAGCGCGCGAGAGGCGCGCTTTAACGCAATGGATTGCAAACGCAAATCGGTTCAGAGTCGAGAGATACCGAAAGGGAGCGCAGCTCGCGGACTTCAGTTCGTGGACAAGATTTATCCTACCGATGGGAGCCGGTGGCTTTGACTGCCGACAGCGAGGTTGAACGACTCCTACGGGCACGACCGAAAATGTTTCGACAACACGTTGCACCACGGACGCGCAGATGCGCACGTGCACAACGCTGCGCAACGACACGCTTACGAGGATGTACGCGAGCGAGCGATGTGGATCTCTGTCTTCGGTGCGATTGCACGAAGCTATTGCACATCAGGTCGTATCTGTTTCAATGTGTTTATAATTGGAAGGTACACAGAAATGAGAAAAATATTCTTGTTTTTTAAAAGAAAACTTGTATTAAAAAAATAATCACATCATTTGTGTTTATTGAAAATTTAACGGTGTGCAATCTGTTTGATAATTTTTAAATTAATAACAAACACTGAACATATTTACTGCGAACAGCAAAATATTCAAATTTTGTTTTTGCACTCTCAAGTTAGATGTTACGTTTGTAACGAGATACACGCAAGAGTAACACATTAGAGATTCTGTCAGATTGACCGGCTTCCGTCAACTCCTACTTATGCTAGTTACGCTTAACAATTATCTGGCTCTTGAATCGCGTAAATGAACGTTAGGTGACTCGCGTGCAATAATTCGCGCGCTCCTTAACTAATTATTCCGACAACGTGCTTGAAAAGACACTCGTCGCGTTATTACCATCTTGCATCACGCAGACCCACGTGTACCATCTCCAAGTGTACGCACATGTGATTAGTGTTCTTTTCTCTCTTTCTCTCTCTCTCTCTCTTTTTCTCTCGCTGTAATAAAGTATATAATAGTAAGTAATTCTATTGACGTGAGAAAGTCTCTTTTTGTTTTCTCGCAATCACGCAAACAATTACCAGATGCTTAAGTAATTGCGGTTGGTGTTTTATAATTCTCGAATGCACATTTTCTAATTGGATGTTTCAGTGCGAGTACAACCGCTCGTGTACAAATGCACCTATTCGTATATTCCGCAATATGATATATTATCTAATCGCAGGATTGATCGATCGAGAAGCATTTTTTGGTGCAATGTAATAATTTTTTTCTTTTTGTTGAAAATTAGAATAACCTTTCTCGCACGCTTCGGGAGAAATAGACTCGCAGGATCAACCGCAGTGACACAGCAATCTCTTGCGGCGCGAACATACGTTTGCGAAACTGGATGTGTTCAGAGTTTTGCGAGCACACCATCGCATCGCGCACGTTCTCCGCGGCTTTAATGAGACATCGTAACGCACGTGATCGGCGCATTAAAATATCTTCGCGCGGGATATAGATTATCCGTTGCCAACACTCGAGCACGCCGATGCACGCGCGTTTTTGTCAACTTCACAAGAAACATTACAAAAGCTGATCAGTTCATCTCTGAGTTGTTTTTCTACTTTTTATGAACACACATTGAAACACGCTACCGGAGACTCTTTAAATGTGAAATGAGCGCTTGAATACTTGAGAGATTTCAGCCAACACAAAATGTTAAACGAGGTTTAAAAAGACAACTGCAGAAGAAAGTCAACTGCAGGCTATAATATGTATATACATGTAATGAAGTGCATTTATCATCACGATTTCATCGTGCCCCGGTATATTTTACGAAATAAAGTCTTCGCAGGGATTGCGCACGACTTGTACATACGTCGCTATAAGATACCGTGCGTCTGCGCTTCGTAATGAGGATACGTGAAACTTTAACGAGCGCGAGCAGAATTACGAGAGGAGACCCGCGTCGTCGATCTCGGTGAGAAAACAGCTAACGCAATAACGTCTCAATGCATCATTTAATGGACCATCGTACGGCATTCGCACGTATATTACACCTACGCGCGAGATTGCACGAGATACTCCGAGTATTAAAAAGTTTTTTTATTTGTTTAATTATGAATAATCGTCAGTTACGTAATTAATTTCAAGTCTCTTTTATATTTCTCTTCTGTCCTATATTTCGTCATGTAAATGAAGATTATATGGACAGAAATAAAAAAGGGGATGAAAGTTAATTTTTCCAAACCGTAATTGTGCAGATGAAGAAAGCGTAATTTCGCGGA